ACCTGTTGTTTCCACTGGGCCTGTGTTGGGGTGAAGCATAAGTGTAGAGATGAAAGGACCATATGTGAAAAGCCGTATTTACTCAAGGCATTGGATGTGGCCCTTGGCAACAATGAGTGGAGATGCTTGTGGCAATAGTTTCTTTCACACTGGCAAGTGTACAGCACCAGTCCTGTGGCCTGGCAGTATTTTTTTGTCCATGAGATAATAAAAACTTTACGTGAGCAGGCTGGTGAGGCTGCAGACCTGAAGTCAAGTGCAAGTTAAAAGTGTAATGAACATTATTAAAGTATCCTTCCCTTTGAGATGCAGTTGAATTGTAGGCTCCCAGATGTGCTGGCCGTTTTTCTTGATATATCAGTCTAAGTGGTGAAAACTGTTCCTGAAGTGTGTTTTTGTGACACTGTAGAAATCTTGGGTTTTTCTCATCAGAGCGTTATGTACTTCATTCCAATTATGCTACAATTCTTGCCTATATTGATCCTTTCAGGACCCTTCTGCCTTCTGTTTTGCAAGAAAATGCTTTCTGTGTATCTGAAATTGCACATTTCTCCTTTGTTATCTCTATTTTTAAACAGTGTTTTTAAACTGAGTTTTTGCATGTCACATCATGTCTTTCAAGGCATAGGCAAGTCTTTCTTTGCCTTTCCCCTCCTTTTTTTAGTTAATATTTATGTTATATTTTCTTATTTTCCATCATATTTTCTGATGTCTTTGAATATTTCTTTATATTTCTTGCAACAATTTCTTCATCATTTGCATCACCAGTGCATCTTCGCAAATTAGAAAATCCATTACATGTGCACTTGAGATTGTTTTCCTGTCTGAAGTCTCAAGTGCCTTAGCAATGAGTTGAAACCTGTTCAGTCTGAAGGTTCAGATGATGCCAAAAAGAATCGTTTTGTTTTGTTTTGTTTTCCAGCTTCACTGGACTCTCATCGTACTACTTTCCCATCCCAAACATCTGCATCTGCAGAAATATCAAAAATAGAGACTGGTAAATTGTGTTTGTGATACTTCCATAGCTTAGGATTTGTTTTTTGCATCAAGGATCTTAGTTACAGGCTGTTTGCTCTAATTGCTTGGTGTTGTCTGAAGTGGAATTTTGTCTGCAGTATTTGGTAGTTAGACTCTATGACTACATGATGATATTCTGTGTCATAGGATCAAATAAAAAACGTAGGAGTCAATATTGGTTTGGGTGGTTTTAATCTGTTGGGTAAAAGGACCACTGGCTAGATGGAGTCATTATCACTTATGAAGATATATTCTTGATTGGGACATTTTACTCTGGGGGATATTTTTTTAGTCATACCATGCACAGTATTTTGCAATTTCTCCATTACTAAGCATTTTTTTCAAGTTATGTTATTATTTCACCATGGAACTTTTTTTAATGGGTTCATAGCTATCCAAGATTAAATTTGTATTCATAGCAAAGATATTAATGCATGAGAGATGAGAAGGAAAATTATCCTAAACCTGACAGTCAATATTTCAACAGTATTGTTATGAATTTTTTCTGCCTCATCTTCTGGCTCTTCAATATGTCACAAAAGTTGTGCTAGTTTATGTTATGTCAATTATATAAAATATCACAATTTAATTTAAATGACAAATGACATTATGTGTAGTATGTTTAAACCTATAACTCAAAGTTTTGTCATCTGTTCAACCGAAACAAGCAAAGCTTTGACAATAGAAATGCCTGGTTGCAGAAATTCATATTAGCATATATTTTACGTTTGTAGATCTCTTTCTACAGGTGCAGGTGAAGTCAACAGCACAAGTTTTTTGCTGTTACGTGTGCATGTATGAATTGACTCCTGTTGATAAGGCTGCTTTTAGGGGGACTGCAGTTTCTGTCAGGGTGTGTCTGTGAGGCACATGTGACTTTTTCAAAACTTTGAGGTTTTAGTCATTTATTTTTGAGTTAGAAATCTTGTGAAACTGTTTTATAGTGGCATTGGCATCTTGCAAAGCAATGTAAAGCAATCTTACTTTTTCTGCCCCAGTACGAATCTCTCTCTCAGGGTTATTTACGTTTTTCTGCAGTTACAAGTTCAGCTGACCTGGAAAAATCTATGCCTCCGCTTTCCAGAACACCTCGTGTGCTAACAACAACTATGGGTAATAGCAATGCATTAGCTTTTCAGTTAAACCACTTTGGGTGTTTTGATAGCAATTTTGGAAATCCAGTTCATTCCAGATATTTTAGTCATCTGCCATACTTGTCTTCCACTTGAGTCATGATCATCAGTGTAGACAGACAAAGAACCCTTTTTTACATGACAGCTTGTGCTTACTGCTGAGAAAGTCACCTGATAAGTGTTTCTGATTTTACATTTGTCTCTCAAAAAGCTGCTAGGGCTATTTTGAGATGTACTTAAGGGAAGTAATCTTCAGATAATAATTATAATAATAATAATGCCTAAAGCTTACTAAGAATCTTAAAATTACTTGTTTTTTTCTTTCACATTTCTATACTCTATATTGTTTATGTCAGCATAGTAAGCTCCTTTCTTACTATGTATTACTGTTCAGTGATTGGTTTTTTACTTTATTTTACCCTTGGGTTTTATGTGTATATATGTACACAGAATATATGACTTCAACATTCACTAAAATAATCTTGACAGAAGAAAAAGCACTGAGGAGAATTAAGACAGTCTTTTTCACAGAAATGTATTTGCAGTGCTTTTTAGTTTGTAGGTTATATTTTTTTTCTGCCTTTTTGGAGTGCTTTATGCTTTTTATCATGGTATTAAAAGGTCTTTTATCTGTATATTTTCTGGGTTGCTTGAAACTACATGGACCATGCCATCTAATGTAATATTAGCTTTGGCTTGCTGAAAATTTAGTTCTAGTTGTCATTTTAACCGCTTGCTTCAGCTCCCACTCTAAACCAGCACTGGTCAATTATCAAGGTAAGGCATGCTTATTGTGGGTGGACCTCTGCAATGCAAATTAGGTATGTTATAACATATAACATTTTTTGTTTGTTCTTATAAAACCAAAAAAGCTATGTGTAGAATTAATAATCATAGATACTTCGACCTGTTTTTTTTATAGCTTTCAGTGGTATTCAGCCTATTCTTTCAAGCCCTGTGACACCTAGTAAGCCTGAAATAACAGATGCTGAACCAGGTACAATAATTCCTACCTAGTTCTTAGTTCAGTAGCTCAAACTATGGTCTAAAACTCACTGGAATGAGTACACTGGTAATCTTCACTTTCAGTGCACATTTGAGTTAGACCCCAACACCTAAATTTTGCATTTAGATTTATGTCAATGGTTGAAATTGGTGCTTTCTCACACTTACAATGCAGCTCATAGTCACATGATTCTCCTTCAGTATTTTGAAAACTATGCGACATGGATAATTGAGAGAACAGTATTTATTGTCCAGTAGTGCTAATGAAAATACTGTCATGCATGCTGTAGGCTGCATTATACTGCTGTAGCCTTGTTAAAAATATTAAAGAGAGTGTATCCTTACAGCATGAAATTAATTAAAAGTTACAGACACTCGATGCTTTTGAACTGAAGCCATAGTTGGATCAGTTGTTATCTTTCTACTCCATATTTTATATGGTTTTAATGTCTGACTGACTGATTGTTCAACATGTCCTCTTCATTAAATTCCAAAATTTTACACTGTACTATGTCCCTTAAATAATGGATCAAAACTCAAAATGTTCAAATGCTCGACTTAAAATCTTATTTGGAGGTGGTTGAGATCCAGACCAGTTGCAATGAAGGCAGGAGGAAATGAACATCCAGAATTTCTGCACATCACAAAAGCTCTGTGCAGTTCAAAAGACTCAATTTCTCTCTAACGTATACTAAACTAAGTGTCCAAGCATTAGTCAAGTATTTGTTGTTCTTGTGAAAACAAATTTGTTTTAGTTTATGAAGGAAGAGTTTCTTCCATTAGCTCTTTGCTCTCTTATGACTGTCACCATTTCTTCCAACAGCAACAAGGGAATCCATTCTGGAATCTTTCACATCTAAAACTTCTCGTCCTTTTCAGTGGCCAAGAGTAACATTAGGTAACGCTGTTGTTTTCACCCGGTGAAAAACTCTGTGTTTGTTTTGAGCACTTCATCCCATACGAATGAATTTCTTCTAGCATATCATTTCACATGCATAATCATTCTTTTTCCTGGTTATAGAATCTTGTTCTTCCATTGTCATTAGACTGATTTTTCTTCATGTATCTCTGTATGAGAACATCATTCAGGATGGTTTTACTGTCCTCAGAGAAGTAAAACTTGCCTCTTGCATGTAAAACACCATCATCCTTTTATTAGACTGTTCTGTCTCTTTCACTCTCATGCACACACGTGTGCTCTCTTTGATAAGTAGAGCTTTCATAGTGGAAATTTTAATTATCTGAGAGACATAGAATCAATTTCTGATCAATGTACAGTATTTCAATATCATCTCCATTCCACACTTTAAATTCTGATTTCATCAGATGGCATTGATATACATACTAAGTTGTCTTTTCTTGAACATAAACTTGTAACGTGCTGTTTGTTGTGGGAAACCCTTGTTAAACAATTCATGATTGCAAATTGAGCTCTTTCTTTCAGCTCCAAAAGAAAGACCACTTATTCCTTCTAAACTGAAACCGTCTGCTACCTCAGAAGTACAGCATGTGAAACCTGGTAATTGTGCACGCCATTTTTATAAGTTGGTATGCAGAGAGATATGTTCATTAAAAATATCTAAGCAAAATTTCCTAAAAAGGACAGGAGCTATGCAACGCATGAGCATCTTCACTAATTCATCGTTGTAAAATCGATCATTTAATGTTGCCTAACATAAGGAATGAGAGTTAAGCTCATTGGATTTACGCGTTTGGGTCCAGTGATATAAACTTCTCTAGTTTTATAACCTTTTTAAAGGACTGGAAGGGAAAAAAACTTATTCTGGGTGGCACAGTTTTGGGGTTTTTTTTGTATCACTTGTATAAACAATAGATATGATTATTATTTTTATAATCTCTTTTGCCAGTCCCCATCTCCCACATTCACACAGAGATAATGTGGCAAAGATGGAATCTTTGCTAGTCACAACAGTTTGTTGATTGAAAGGAAAGTACTACTCATGTGATCCGTAAGCCCTCCTGCAGGGAACTCAATGGAAAGGATTGCCATTTTAATGGGAATATGAATGCTTTCTCAAATTAGAAGGGGAAGCTTTCATATACACGAGATGCTTTCTTTGACCATGAGAACATTGTCATTGTGTCATGTCTTGTTTCCTTTTCTGCTTTTTGATCAAAAAATAGGTCTCTGTACTCATTTTTTTCTGATTTGGGACTAAGGGAGATGAATTTGCTTCCCTTAGTGATTCAGGTACTGGACCAATAAATATTTCAGTGTGCATTGCTAGAGTCCTAAAATGTTTCTGTTCTATCTTATAAACAGACAGGTCAGTAAAAAGCAGGAGTTGCCTTTAATGTCTTATATGTGTCTTACAGTCGACTGCAGGGTCTGATTTAAGATTTTCAGCAAGATTTTGGCACTTACAAGTTTCCTCTTTGTTATAGATTCTCTGGTATTTATTACGGACTGCAGTCTTCTCTTCAGTCAAAGCTCTCATTGGTCCTTTCTCACTATTCTCCCATAATATAAAAGAAATGAATTTGTTGATTGAATCAAAAAATGTCAAATAATCAAATAAATATGGGGAATGAGCCTCAGAAGCAGACTCTCGCACATAGCCATGAGCATCCAGTGTGTAAATTCATAGGGAAAAAAGCTACAAGGAGTGTAGGGTGTTATGCATAAGAGTAGGACTTAGTTGCATGCTTATCTTGTCAGTCTATTTTAAAACAAACAAACAAACCCCCTGAACTATTGGAATGATAACGCTTTTGGCTTGCTGCTGATACATCTACTGATATGTTCGATTACACTTGAATTTTTCTTTTCTAGCCCCTAAACCACCACTTTTGGAGCCTAAAATTTCTCAGACTGTTGAACAACCAAAAGCAACACTAGGTAATACATGTTTCTGTAGCTGTTGGTCACTCTTTGCAGTCCGTGCTACACAGTTTTTACTCTGTTACTTTATCTCATAGCTTTTACTATATTTAATCCATTTCTCTGAGAGAGGAAAAAAGTTCGGAAATAAGCACTGAGAAATACATTTTTCTAAACTTAAGAGAAAAAGAAAGAAGTTTTTTTCGTATGGTTTTATAAGTTCTATAGTACAGGAAAATTTTGGGGATCAGATTGTCTTCCATTTTGTTGGGAGTTTTTCTACACCAACACATTTTACTCTCAGAAAATCATCAGAAACACATTTGAAATACTATTGAAAGGCCAAGTGCAAGGTTAGCATTGTGGATGTCTCAGTGAAGGATTCCTGTGGCGCTAGATGGACAAGTTAATTCAGCTGTTCTTTTATGAATCCTTCTAAATGTCATTTTGGCTTAAAAACACTTCTCAGTCACTTCGTATGTCTTATTCTACTCTTTCTATAAATGCCATATGCTTTTTCCACTGTGTCTACTGCTATGAAACTTTTTCTTGGAAAGCAGTCTCCTAGCACTGCTTTATAGAAATGAACAAAATTACTGACTATACTACCTGAAACTCACCTTAATCTTTATCTGATGTCAGATTAACAGTCATATTTAGCTAATTACAGTTTCAGCCCATGCATGTTCAGGTGGAAAAAAAGTTTCTAGGAGTGGTTGCTCTTAATTTTTACCATCTAGATGACACTACTTTTTAGTAACAGAATTCAATGACTACGCTTATGAAGCAAATCCCCTTTTTTTCCATGTTTCTCCAGCTCCCTACCAATAATTTCTTTACAATGTTGAAAATTGAGGACTTTTTTACATATTTTATCTACATGTTTCTTTTGATGACTTAATATTGACCTGGAGTTAAAAAGGATAAAGAGCATTGGTTTTTTTATCTCTTAAGTCTCTTGCAAAAACGTTTGCTAACTTAATGAGACAAAGATTTTGATGTGATTGTAAGCTACAGTAACATATTGTAAATTTGCTTACTGACTTCTACAGTGAAGAGCAAGCAGGGATTTTGCTGGACTTCACTGAAGTCTTAGGAAGATTTTTGAGAAGGCGTCTTAGAAAATCTGATTTTGCCATTTCCTTTTGTTCCCAGTAGCAATTTGCTGCATCATTTCAGGTTTGAATAATGTGATTTTTATGTGATACAGTGGAAAGGATAATCTTATAATCTAGTATATTTCTTTCAGCTCCTAAAGAAGCAAAACTCACACCTTCTGCATCTAAACCTAGACCATCGGCCAGAACCAAAAAGCCACGAACTAAACCTGGTAACTAACTTCCATAGCAAACATTTGTTACAACATATCACTGAAGTAATATACTTTAGTAAAAATTAATTCTATGTAAAGCTCAGCACTTAATCCTCAGAAAGATGAGAGTATTAATACTTTGAGGAGTATTATTTTTATATGGAACCAAAAATCTTTGAAGCAAAGCAAGAAAACTTTGATAACTTTTATATCCCAAATCACCAAGTTACATGGCCTGGCATTGAAACAAATAGTTTTCCTGCTTTTAATTTCAAAATAATGAGTTTTCCAACTTAGTTCAGCACAAGGTACAGAGAATGCAAATTCTCCTGATTTGCGTCCAGCGGAACTTCCCCAATGAGCCAAGACTGCCCAAAGATAATGGACAGGGGTTTGGCAATGACATCCGCCAGCTCTCTCAGGACTCTCGGGTGGATAGGATTTGTATTGATACAGTGATCATTAATGCATATGTAGACATAACCTGAAACTGTGGAAATAAGAGTGAAATTCTGCTCTGGAATTTAGTAAAGGTATATTTTGTGATGGGAAATGAAATTGCACTGTCACACTGGGGTTAAATTTGTTCTATGACATATGTCAGAGAATAAAAGATACCTGGCATTTCTGGAACTGCAGAATAATGAATACAGTTACAAAAATACTACTACTGTTACATGGTTTGTAATGAAGTTAGAAAGCTTAAAATTGCTTAATTGCATATTGTAAGAATATATTACTTAATCTTGGAAGAGATCGGGCAATATTATTAAATTCTTTCCAGATTATCTGTGAATGATGTTTTTGTTCATAAAAATATTACTCTTTTCAGACCAAATAATTCCTTGTGAAGCTTGTTAACTAAATGGTATTTATGACCTGGAACTGTCTCAAAATAGTGTGCATAATTCGTTTTCCATGGTCATTACAGCTCCTACAACATTTTTAGTGTGGGAAATCCAGTATTCTATTACTAGGACAGTTACATTTGTCTCCTATAGATGCCTATGTCTGAATATAGATCCGAATCTTGCATGATATTTTTTTTTGAAACGACATAGGAAAAAAACAACTCATTTGGAAACCTGTGTAAAATTGTTTTACACCCTTGGACTACCAAGGTGAACACTGTATATTGAAATTTCCACAATGAATGGCTATATAACAAGTTCCCATGTAACTAGAAAGAAGGCGGCATCATTCTGTATTTGTATGCATGCCTCTTGTTTGTCCTTTCTTTGTTAGTGGCTTCACTGATCAGTCAGATGAAATCCTAAGAAACACTTTTTAATCATAATTAAGCTTGTAATGATCTCCTCGCAAGTAGGTATTTGTGAATTTGGCATTTGTTCTGATTGGACAAACGGTGATATTCTTATTCAGAAATTATCATTTGAGGCATAAAATATGCAGTGCATGGGGATAACCTGGCTTTTAGGTAGGTGGCAAAATGCTCAAAGAGCAGGGTCTCTTCTGTATTCCAGCATCACTTGGGAGTTCAGCTTAAATTAGAAATTTGTGCCATGACAGTCACCTTTCCTTAGCAATGAACCAAAATAATGAGGAATATGTACCTAATTCATACTTGATCACTGACTTACTAATGGCCCACTTTGAGTTGTACAGAATTCCTGAAAATTAGTTTTGGCTCTCATTCTTAATAAGGCTTTTGTACTGTTTCTGATAACGTACTTATCTTTTTTCAGAGGAGCAAAAAAACTTTATTTGAAAAAAAAAACACAAAGCAACAACAACAAAAAAAACAAGACAACAAAACAGAAACAATTCTCAATTTTTTCCAACCAGCCAACTGTACATTCTAGTGAAAGTCTACAGCTTCATTCTTTTTCTTGATATGTGGGTAATTGAATCTGTTGCCTGCATGAAAAAAAAGGTCTTTTGCCAATGTTATCATGCCCAATCATTGTGCGCACTTGTATTATTGTTAGCATTAATCTCTCTATCTAAACATACTAGGTTCTCCATTTTTCAGGAAAGGAAACTATAATGAATTTTTCTACCATGCATCCAGCTGCACTGCAACATTTCATTTCCAGAAAAGCGCAAGAATAGCTCTTTATAATGAACCCCTGTTGAGTCTCTGTAGATGCATTATAAATTTATGCTCTCTTGTGCCTCTAGTATGAAATGCTAGTTCTTCATATGCATCTGTGCATTTTCCCTTGTGTCATACAAGACTTTTGGAAGAGAACTGCAGAACTCTTTTAACAACAAATAGGCAGAACTTTGCTCTGTTGTAGAAGAGGATCTCAACTGCCTACTATTTGCAAATTTCCATATCTCAATACAGTAGTGAAGTTAAGATAGCGTAATGTTAGATAGATCGGTGCATATGTGTAGTTGTTCTTTTATAGTCTTCTCTCCCTTACCAGGACTATGAGAGTCCTGGAAAGGACTTCTAAACTTGCATCTTCTAAAGTACAGTCACATGAGAGAACCATGCCTTCTCAGCCTATGAAAACTCTGCTTGATAACATGGTGCATGTCTGTCTTACTGTTTGCTGTCCTTCAAAGTCTCAGGTTGCTCAGTGCTTACAACCCAGTAATATGATAAATTGTTCAATAATATCAAGAGTAACTTTTATGTCAAAGTCCTCTGGGAGTTTTATTTAGATGCTCTGCTTTCAGAAAGGTCAGAGGAAAACGAAGGCATTTTATATCTTCCCAATCTTATTCTCCTCTCATCATTCTGAGAAATCCAGCTCAACCTTTTATCTAGAGAAGTCTACATGAAACAAATTATATATCTATTAATGAACTTTTTTTTTAAATGATCTGAGAAGAAATCATTACCAGAGACTTTCAGAATCTCTTTAGTATTGGGAAGAGGATGGCATTGTTGAATTTTATGTTTGAAAAAACAAAGAAATTAAAAAGAAAAAACAGATCTGAGTGATTTAAGATTCATCAGAAAAACAGAGTGCGATGATATATGGCCCTAGGTTCGTTCTGGAAAAATGTGCAAAGTACCTAACTTGTACGTCAGTATGCCTCTTATTGGATTTCCCTGCTTGGGTTTAGAGCAAAGTGTAGTGCTAAGGCACAGATATGTTACGCAGTACTCAGTGCTGCCAGGTGTAGAAAAGTAGTCTCCAGTTGTTAAATAGGTAAGAATTTTCTGCTGGTCTTTGTCATGACAGAGGAGTATTAGTATTCCTATTCCTACTAGGATTCACTATTCTTACTAGTGAATGATTTTTCCATAGTTGTTTTTGTGTATTCTCATTCTTCACCTTTTGACCCTAACTAGTACCAGAGCCCTGTGGTTGGGAGCAAGAACAGATTGCACAGGCTGGGATGGATTATTTTTATTTTTATTTTTAAAAAGAGTGGTGCTGTCACTTCATGTGAGCCACTTCATGCATTATCATTTTCAATGACGTGGCTTCAAAGGGAATTGTCTTGAGGAGAGACTGACTTACTCAGTGAAAGTTACTTTAGAGATCCAATTCCCGGAGAACATAGGAAAACTTCATAATTTCTCTCTGACAGATTTTTTTTTTCAACTTTTCAGTTCCCAGTAAAGCTTCTCCTTCCAAACCTGGAGTCTTTTTTGCATGCAGAATAGCCTGTGACAATGCTGGGTAATTGCTGTGTCCTTTCACAGAATGACAGTATGGTTGAGATTGGAAGGGACCTTTGGAGTTCATCTAATCCAATGCAGCTGCTGAAGGAGGGCCACGTAGAGCCAGTTGCCCAGGACCACCTCCAGACAGTTTTTTAATATCTCCAGGGATTGAGACTCCACAGCCTCTCTAGGCAATCACTTTACTAGAATCATAGAATGGTTTGGGTTGGAAGGGACCTCAAAGATCATCTGGTTCCACCCCCCCTGCCATGGACAGGGACATCTTCCCCCTACATCAGGTTGCTCAAAGCCGCATCCAACCTGGCCTTGAACACTTCCAGGGATGGGACACCACAGCTTCTCTGGGCAACCTGTTCCAGTGCCTCACCACCCTCATTATAAAAACTTTCTTCCTAGTATCTAATCTGAATCTCCCCTCTTTCAGTTTAAATCCATTGCCCCTTGTCCTATCACTACATGCACTTGTAAAAAGTCCCTCTCCAGCTTTCCTGTAGGCCCCCTTTATGTACTGGAAGGCTGCTAGACAGTCTCCCCAGAGCCTTGTCTTCTCTAGGCTGAAATACCCCAACTCCTTAGCCTGTCTTCATAGGGGAGGTGCTCCAGCCCTCTGATTATCTTTGTGGCCCTTCTCTGAGCCTATTCCAACAGGTCTGTGTCCTTCTGTTGGGAGCCTCCCAGACTTCCCTTGCTTATTCTAGGATTTACTGATTTCTAGTAATGTATTTTTGCTTCTCTTGCCATCAGGTTTGTACAATTAAATTTTTCTTACTGAACTTGTATTATTTGGAAGTTTAATTGTCCATGATTTTAAGTAAAAGTTAATTTGAAGATCCGCATTACTGTGGTGTGGTATTAGCACCTGCTTTTATACTTACCAGTAAAGTAATTATGGGTTTTTGGAGTACATTCCATAATTACCTTTTCACACTGTTTCTGTTGCAGTCTTGGAACCTATTACACTTAGAATTGAACCACCAAGGTCAACGATAGGTAATGATATTTCCTTGGCAAGCTGTCATGTTTGCTTTTTTCACCAGAGAAAGCATCACTGAAGTTAATCACTTCATGCCTTAGGATTGTTTCATTAAATTTTATTTTTATTCTAGGTAATTCTCTTGCTTGGTGTTCATGACAGTTGAATGTGTTGCTCTCTTCACAGTTGGAATGTCTCTTTTTTCAGCAAAAATGGTGCTGGCAGCTCTGAATCACCTTTCATGTAATTATGCTTGTCTGTGCTTGTCTCAGCTTTTTATTTGAAAAAAAAAGAAAACACCTGAGCTTCAAAAATTACTAAAATTCCACTTTCTTGCTTAGATTTTTGTAAACATATGAAGAGTATTACCTGGCTTTCTTTCCTATTTCCTAAAGAGACTTTTTTTCTCTGTTACAGGTGAAAGGCTTCTGTTTGAGTGTTCAAGTTGGTACGAGATAGTAATTGCTGTGCAATTTAACCAACTTATTACCCATGTTTTGTCTTCCAGCTCCAAAGGAGACTCAGCGTATCCCTTCTAAACCTAAAACTTCACCCAAACCTCATATCCCACAAGCTAAAGATGGTAAACTGCTTTGTGTGATTGTTTTGAATATAGTTTATATTGAATTGAAACGTATTTCTGAGCAGCTGTTTAGTTATCTGAGCCAGTTAAAACATAATGGGGTTCTGTTCTGCTGTGTGTTCAGTGATTTATTTGCAGTTTTCAGAAGTAGTAACATTTGCTGTTTTTCATCATGCAAAAGAATAAATCTCTGCTACTTCATGGCAGCAGGATGAGAATATTGTTGTTGAACTCATATTACAGTGGTAACTCAAGCAAATACCTAGCAATTAAAGTATGTATTATGGCTACTCAGGTGGTACAATTCTTTCCCACATTACTTTGCATTTTTAGAGTAAATACATTTCAATTTGAAGCTATAACTTCTTAATTTCATAACATTATTATTTTCTGCATGAATGAGTAAATTACTCCTTCCGTAGTTACTATTTGTTTCTAAATATTGATATTTATTAACATTAATGATCATTTATGCTCTATTCCAAAATACTGGATTTTTATGATATGTCACTGAACTGAATTCAGTGGTAGGCAGAAAAAGATCTCTCTGTCTTCTACTATCCAGTTGGTAATATCAACAGGAAATTACAAGGGTATCAAATATCAACATGTGTTATATTTTGGTAAACGTGAAAAATTTCATGATAATCACTTTATTGTAGATCTTTAAATTGTAGACATGGAGCAATAATTTTGAAAGCTGATGTTATCTGTTAGGTATCATTTCCTCATGTAGGAAACAGTCAAAATCCTTATTCTCTGATTTATTAACTATAGCAGCTGATTGTTAATAATTATTTCCAAACTACAACTTAAAATGCAACTTCTCATAAACTCAGTTTTTACCTCTGTGGCCATTTTTCATTATTGTGATAGTCCAGCCTTCTCAAAATATGCTTTTGTCACACAAATGTTACAGGTTTGTACTGTTCTGTGTTTAAAAAAAAAAATTACTGTTTCTTCAAGAATCTAAAATATACAGAACTTTTTTACAGTGTCATCCACTTATCTTGTGATTGTCTTAAAAGATCCAAAGAATTTTTTTTTTCACATGTACAGAAGAATTGACAGAGAGGAATACCGTTTCTTGTATGCCTTTGTTTCTAATGTGGGAAATGCAAGAAAATAGTATCAATTACACATCCAGTTTTATTTTAGATCCATACCAGTTTAGAGCTGAAGTATACGTTCATGCAATGCTCTTTAATAACATAGCATCCAGAAAACAAGCAAGTGGTCTCTAATTCCAATTGTATATATAAACTTCATTTGAAATATACCACAAAGGGAAGATATTTGTGTCCCTAAAAAGCCATTTTCTGATTAAGGGAGTGGTACATCTTGAGAGTGATGTATGTTTGATGTCTCATTGAATCCCATGGGAGAACTACGCTCACATTATGTTTCAGCTTACACTGCTTTCTCAGAGAATTCATTTAATATAACAGTTTTCATATGAGGCTGCATACATAGTATGTAATTCGAAATACAATCACTAGACAAGTAATACTAATTGTAAGTGGAGTTATTCAGTTTTCATGTTTTGTTTCTGATACAGTTCTGGAATCTATAACACTTAGAACTGATCAACTAAAACCAACAATAGGTAACAGTTTTACCTACAATGACCATCACATTTAACTTTTTTCTCAGTATGCACCAAGCATCACAAGTACATCTTCATTGTACTCCACTGTCACAAATTTTTAATATTAAATTTAGTCCTTCTATAAACTTTTTTTTGTAGTTTTGTACTAACAATTCATAATCATCTTGTTTGATTTTTCTCACACAAACGTGTTCTGTAAAGTGGATGAAAGCACCACAATCTACCTTTTGACTACATGTCTCTATACTCGGTTTCTGTCGTGTGCTGCTTCATCTTTTATACCGATCCATGCATACTGGCCTTGCATTAAGTTATCCAACTACAGAGATTCTCCATCAGCACTATTTCTTTATGTACTGGACATTCATACTTCTCCATTACTCATACAAACGTGTTCTATTTTAATATTTTGCCTTCTGTTGGTCTCAGTTCTTGAATAGTTGACTTACCTTTTACCTTCATTTACCTTAATAGTTGAATTTCCTTTTTTAATTTCAGTTCCAAAAGAAACACAGCATGTTCCTTCTAAACCTAGAACATCACCAAGCTCAGAGGTGCCACAAACGAAACCTGGTAAGTACACTGTTTCTTTGTCTTATCATACTAATATGTGTGTCTTATGAATTCTACTGTGATCAGTGAAGCTTCAGATTTATATGTATCCCTTGGGTATATATGTTGGAGCATTCCTTGAGGGATAAAACCCAGTATCACATGTTGTGACACGTAGAATTTATAAGCGACCTGATAGGTTTAAAATCTCTTCAGTTCTCCCTTACATTTTAGGTGACTGCAACAGTGGGCATTTTTCTATGCAGTTGTCAGTGAAAATAGGTCTTTTCTGTGTGAATTTGCTTGGGTTTTGGGAAAGTGAAGGTGAAAAGGAGGGGTATCATTGTAAAGAGGAAGAGGTTTATTCTGTATTTCTCAAATTGTGTACTTGTTTTTTCTTTCCCAGGCACAATCATTCATTTATACTTTTTAGTTCACTTTTGCACACCTTTATGTTGTTCGGAGATTTAAGAATGTGTAGTACTTTCTACAATGCTGTTTACACAGCTTAGTATAGAGCAATATACAACCCTGGCCTAATTAAGGATGGAGAAAGAAAGTTCTACAATTCACTCTAGCAGTTGCATGAGGTACTGTGCTGAGTCGATCCCAGCCAGGAACTAAGCACCCACCAGCCACTTGCTCATTCCACCCCACAGTGAGTTGGGGGAGAGAATCAGAAGAGCAACAGAGAGAAAGAAAATCATAGTTCCAGATAAAGACAGTTTAGTAAGTGAAAGATCAAAAGAGGGGAATAAAACAAGCAGTACAAAGGCAACCACACACCGCATCCCACTAGCAGACCAATGTCAGTCTAGGAGCAATGGGTCCTTTGGAAAGTTTTGTTGCTAAGTGTGACATTGTATATGAGGTGGAGTATCCCTTCGGTCAGTTTGGTTCAGCTGTCCAAGCTGTGTCCCCTTCTAGCATCTTGCCCAACCCAACCTATTTACTTGGGGGCAGAGTGAAAAACAAGTAAGTTCTTAATGTTGTAACAAGCACTATTCAGCAATAGCTAAAACATTGGTGTGTTATCAACACTGCCTTGGTCACAAATCTGGCAGAGTACCACGGGGGCTGCTATGAAGAAAATAAACTCCATCCCAGCCAGACCCAGTACAGGTATCCAAGGTATATGCAGTATTAATTGGTGCTGCTGGAGAAAAGGGCAGAAAGATGACAACTAAGATTTCTTTTTCCCCTAGTAAGTCTGTGCCTATTGTTTGAATAAAAATCTTGAAATAGTTCAGGAAAGTGTACAAAGTTGAAGGTGAAAAACCACCCAGAATTTCTTTGTAGTTTATTATAAAAACTTTAGATTTATGTTTGGGCTCTCTGCTGTATTAGAGCTATTGCCTTGAATTGGAGGCATAATACTCTGACGTGTTGAGTTTCAGGGAGGAGTGACTGTCTGTCGTTGGCTGTAGCAGTGATGGTATGATCAGTGTGGAAGAAGCGATTGTAATGTTTTGATTGTTCTTGGTAATACTTGTTTTCTTATCACGCTAATGCAGTTCTGGAACCAATGACATTTAGAACTGAGAAACCCAAGTCAACTGTAGGTAATGACACTTTCTTACTTGAATAATCATGTCATCTTTCCTCTTCAACACAAATCATTAAGAGTAGGCCTGGAAAAAAATTGTCACTTTTATTTGTGTGCGCCTTAATAATTTAATGGTCGAGATTCTCTCTCTCTTTTCATATTTTCTATGAAACAATTGAGGTGGATCCTTGTGCCTTTCAAGTTATTGTGCACATAACATAGGGCAATTTCCTTCCGTATTTCCTGATACAAGACAGAGGACAGATCAGAACAGGATCCTAACTTACATGTTCTCAGTCATACTGTAGAGGTGGCACTGTTCTAGTTAGTCATACAGTTTGGGTGAGCAGAGCTGCATGCTGCAAGTTTTCTTTCTCTGCTTCCCTTCCCCTCCAGTTTTACTAAATGAAATTATGTCCTTCATAGAGGTCTGAAAAATAATTGTGTTTCACTCAAACCTCAATTCTACTATGAGAACAGTGTCACTTCAGTGATCATATGATTCCTTGAGGCAGACCCATTTGACTAAGGCATTTTTTTATTTGAATCTGGTACTGCGAATCATTCCAGTACAACGTTCATTGCAGAGCAGTGGTGTGTTTGTATTTGAAGCTACTTTTTTTTTCCTTTTTTTTTTTTTTTTTAAGTCCTCTTCTTAAATAGAACTAGTAATTCTGTCGCATGCTTAGTTGAAGATATCTCACAGAAGATTATTGCTTTTCTCTGTTGACTGATTTTGTTAAAAAAAAAACTTGCCTTTTGCATCATTTCCATAGAATATCTTTGGTTCAAATCTTTGCTCTGTTTTTGTTGACTGTTGTGGGTAGTAGTGGACACTGATACCTCAGAAAATTTTAGTATGGTGTAACGCAGTTTCTTTCTTTCAGCTCCTAAAGATACACGTTACTGGCCTTCCAAACCTAAAACGTCACCCAGTCCACATGTTCCTCCAACTAGAGCAAGTAAGTTAATCAGTGTTTTGCCCTTTAGGACATGAAAGTTTTATCAGTTTGAAAATTGTCAAAATTATAAAATCATAGAATGGTTTGGGTTGGAAGGGGCCTTAAAGATCATCTAGTTCCAACTCTGCTGCCATGGGCAGGGGCAATTGATACAGACTCAAATTGATGAGTACACATATGCTTATTGAATAGGTTCTGTTTTACTGTCATAATCAAATTTTACCATATAGCTGTCATAGAGCAAGATAATCAGCTAGATATTTATACGTGTCAAAAGCTTGTATAATGGTAGGGATGTGGGGTTAACACTCATCTTGAGCCCTTCCACATAGGAAAATTTGCATCTTAATTTCTGTAGAATGTGACAGAGATATTTGTATTTTCTGGTTACTCATTAAAAGGGTAAAATCACATTATTTTCCTGTTCCCAAAACTTTGAACTTAATTCTGTCCATTTGAAAATTAGTGGTAAATTTCCACTTTTCTTCTGCTTTGGCTGCTCTGCTGGAGATTTTTTTTTAATGCAAGATTGATTCAAATGAGCAGCAGATTTTTGGAATATGAAACACTTGAGAAGTGCAACTAGGTGAAGTGTTAGAACTACAGCAGTTTACTCTGTAGAAAGCTCTGTTTGATAGAGCTGAGAGAAGTGGAGAGTTAATCCAACACTGCACAGTAACATCCACTTTGTCTTTAGTCTCTGCACTCAAATAATGTTGATTATGTTGACAGGAGATCTCTTGATTATTTTCAAATCAAAGAAATACATTTTCTGCAAAGAACTTTTTTAGGAAGTATCTCCTGTCAGGAAAATCAAAAGGCTTGTTTTGAATCATCATCCTCAACAACATGTTCAAAATTTTACTCATCTTCACAGGTCCAAAAGAAAGTCGGCGAGTCTCTTCCAAGCCCAGAGCTTCACCAAGTCCAGAGATACCACCCACAAAACCCGGTAAATACATTGTTGTTTCGTTGTGCTTAAATGTTTAGGATTTCTTTTGGGTTGTATTTTCTCAAATAATCAAGTGTTGATTAACATCTGTGTTGGGTTTGTGTGATGGGGTTTTGGTAGTGGGGTAGGGGCTACAGGGCTGGCTCCTGTGAGAAACTGTGAGAAGCTTCCCTGGCTCCAAGTAGGACTCACCTCTGGCCAGGGCCCAGCCATTCAGCACCCCTGTGAATAATGTATTTAAGAAGGGGCAAAGAAACTTGTGCCATGAGGGACCTGCAGCGGAGAAAGGGAAAAAGCACAGGTGGCTGTCTGCACTGCACACCCCCCCCCATCTTTTCTGTGCCTATCAAAAGATGCTTAGAGAAAAATATATTTGAGGACCTTCGTGTATGACTCTAAATAATATGTAACTCAAACCACTCATATGTTTGTGTGCCCTGGTAATGGAATTTGACACTTAAAAATACACTTAATGGAGATTTACATATTAGTGAACTGCCAAACCTCTGTAGTTCCTGATGGTTCTGAAAGTGTCAGCTGAACCTTCCTTTTCAGTAGGTGTATATTCACTAATTCCACCAATAAATAATTTTGTTTTTTAAAAAAAGAACAAATTTAAATATGTGTTCCAATTTGATAAGAAATCATTCAGGTGAAAGGGAGTATTTTTACCCTTTTGCTTGTACTTACTGCTAATTCTCTGTACATTCTTGTTTTCATGAAGTTTTGGCACCTACTACATTTACAGTCGAACAACCGAAGACAGGAACAGGTAAAGACGTTACCTTGGACTGGTCATTATTATTTTTTCCCTACTGCTCCTTGGACCAAAGATTGTAAGATTGTGTATCATTAGTCTGGTTTTCATGTCATCCGTTTTTGTGGTTTTGATTTGTTTCCTTTTCTACTTATTGAACTTAATTCTACTCTGTTCCAGGTATTGAAAGATTCCTAACTGTTTTGTTGTCTTCACAGAAAATTTCTTTCACTCTCACTCACATTGTAATTCCTTTGACAGTCATAGGAGACAAGCATGCCATGAGTATTGCGATCATGACTCTGAAATACAGATGGAAATGTATCCACTATAGTTGTCTCTGTTCTTTCAGGTTTTGTTGCTTGACTCAGATTTTTACTTACTAGATCAATTTTCCACCCATGTTTTCATTCATGATTTTCTTTTCTCTTTAAATCTCTGTCTGTATCCAACACTTAAATTTTCAGTCTCTCATGGAAGGATCTTGTTTTCCTTTGCAAGCACGAGGCGTGCAGTGCCTGTGCAATAAACCTGTCTAATTTCTGAAGAGTATAACCCTTAAAACAGGTCTTTTCTTTCAGCACCTAAAGAACCACAACATACTCCTTTTAAGCCTAAAGCAGCTCCCATCCCAGATGCTCCACACAGTAAGCCTGGTAAATTATCCAGTCCTTTGTTGAGCTGCAGTTGATAATTGAGCAACTGCTTTCAGGGTGGGCAGTGGGGGTTGTTGTCAGCGGTACATTTGCTGTTAACCTGGGTATCATTCTAGCTTAAGAAACCTCCGCAATGTTCCAATTAAGTCATACCACTGGTGAAAACAGTTCAAGACTTTTTTTTTTTATATATAACAAGAAGAAATAGTAGTGACCTGTGTGTTTAAATCAATGATAAAAAGTTATTCACAGCTTGTATCTGAGCAACACGCTTCAGTTGTCTGTGCCATGCTTTTGAAGCTGTTATGAGAGAAATGCTTGAAGCTGTTGCAGTGCTTTTCCTTTATTTACACTTTCTCATCCAGATTAGACTGAGGGTTCCCTTCAGTTGTGTTTTGAATAGCAGACTCCCCATCATAAATCTGACTGACCTGTATAAGATAATCAGTGATGTCACTGAAGGGTTGTTATCATTGTTTTTTAAGTATCTAGATGTTAAAAACAAACGAAAAATTGAGCTCTTTGTAACCATAAATCTCCGAGGGTAAATGCCTATGGCTGTTTTAAAATATCCCTTTCCTGGTGTATATAGTATAGTGCTGAATGTTTGGGGTTTTTTTAAGGAGGCGGGAGGGAAAGGGAGAGTCTCTTCATTATTCTGAGCATTTATTGGCATTTTTTCCAACAGAAATCATTCCAACCTTCCATGAACCAGATACTACTATGATTCCTCATACTCCTGAAAGAACAAAGGCAACATTGGGTAATCATGTGTATTTTATTAATAATTGTTCTATTTTCCATTCTTGCTAGAGAAGGTCTTCTTAGAGCTCATTAAATGATATTAAAAACTAATGACGAAGTTTTGCTCTGCTTCTAGATACTTGCTTGTCCTTTGGTCTTGGTGAGGGTAATAATGCATGAGCTAATTTACTTTTGAAGGTTCTTTTCCTTGTCTTCTAGCCTTTCCAGTCAGTATGATGTAATTCCTTCAGATGTTATCTATTTTCTGGTAAAAGAGAAATTTATTTAAAAAGCAGGTCGTGATTGCTGTAATTGCTGCATCTGAGGTATGGATGCTGTCATCCTAAAATACTCTTCTGCTCCACTCCTTATGGTATAATTTTGCAGAATAAAATCGTAAGAAAATGATATCAACAGTAGCACAATGTATACCAAAACAGACCAGCTATGTGACTCTCCACATCAAATACTAGTTCTAAAAGCCGTTTTCTCTGCTAAATTCTAGTGATCCATGTTGGCAAAACTTGCTTAAATATATGAAACATTAGCTCGGAATTCTTTCTTCTTAACTTAAATGTCAGATGTGGACCAAATAAGGGTCAATGAGTCCAAGCAGTATTGGGCAGCAGGAGTATTGCTTGAGCAATCTTTGTTAATTAATTGGTTCTCTGTCTGCAGTTTCAGAGACAGACCTTGACCATGATTTTCTGAGAAGGAAATGGTATTGTTAATGAAGTATTAATAGACATTTAATAATCTTCAAACTATGTTTTTTCTTTTTGAGGAATAGGAAATGAAAAATGCTTTTCATCATGTTTCTGATTTCATACGTATTCCTTGTATGCATTGAAACTGAAGTTAGTATTCATTTGATAGCTCTTTATATAGCTTTACGAAGTTTATATGCCCTGTCATACACATATGGGGCTACCTGATGCAGTATTCATATGCAGAAAATGGTTCTTCAGAGCAAGGGGGTTGAAGAATGCACAGGCTAAAGCAGATATTTTGTAAGAAGCTCTCACATTGCTGTGGATTACAGACTAGCAAGTGCTAAGGTAACCTTTTCCAGTAAATGATTCCTACATGGCAAGAATTTTTAACTGAGCAATATGAAAATAACAAGATTGAATAGTTCCCAAACAAGAACAAAGAAGCCAATTTATAAGTCATGTCTGATACGAAGGGTCCACTGAAAAACAAATAGATCCTGTCCTCAAATACTCATATATGGCAGATGTGGAAGATGTAGGCTACTACTGTCTATTTTTGTTCCGTTACTTTACTGTATGCTGTTTGTGACTGTGTTCTTCACTGCTTCATCCAGAGCTACAAATTTGTATATAATTTTGGGGAAGTCTGTTTGTGTCAGTGGCTGTTCAATTTCTTTTCCTTTCTTTGCAGGAATTCCAACTGATTGATTTTCAGCTTTACCCATACATAATTTGCCTTATTACAGATCAGATTGTACTTACGTTCCTTGTGTACTATGAAAGCAGTGTGTTTTTTCAATTATTGTTCCCGGTACTGTTTGTTTTTATTTCAGCTCCAAATGAAAAACAGTTCATTCATATCAAACCAAAAACATCCGAAAAACCAAGAGTGCCACACACCAAACCTGGTAACAGACTCATTCTTTTAGTTTTGTGTGTTTGTGTTTTATCATTCTTTCCCTTAGCCTTGCGTTTTGTGCTTTTTAACAGAATTATTCATAGCTGGTTTTATGCTGGAAGAACTTCATTGCACTTAAGTCGGTCAATCCAAAATATGCTAGAACCACACTGAAAAAAATAGTAGGAATTGTAGTACAGCATAAAAAATGTTCTTCCTCCTATCTATTACATATAGGAAATAATGAATAAAACGTAGTAGTGTGGATGTTGACAAATTTCAGTGGCCAGAAAGACTGTGTTCTCTCTGATTACTTCCTGGTAATCAGAGATGCTTCTTTGTGAGCACTTCTTGGTTTTTTTTAATCCATAAAACACAGCAGAGCTTCTTTGCAATGTGCTTGTACTGTTAGCAACTCACATTGTGTGCTATTCTAAAATGAAAGTAGTCTTAAAAATAGTTAGTGGGCTATGTCTCTTCCCGTTCTTGTTACAGAAGGAAAGTATAGGATAAGTTAATAGAAAGATAATGATATCTGTCAACACTTGATTTTTTTAAGTTCTGCTACCTAAGATATTAAGATATTCTGCTACTCTATATTTTGGGGCATTTTGAAAGTTTTAGAAACAGTGCAAATGCTATTTTGTTTCTCTTACAGTTTAATATTCTAAGATTCTTCACATTTTCTCCTTGACAGCAATACATCAGACAACTCCACAACCAATTATTACAAAATCTTCTACTACCACTGAGCATTCAAGGGCAACAATGGGTAAATAAGTTTCCTTAAAGTTAAGATGCAGGTATTTTTAATTTTTCAATGGAGAAATTTCTAGAGAACATGCTCTGATGTGGTATTTTATGTCACATCATTCCACTATCCTTCATTCTGCTTACACACATGCATGTTTCTTAATGCAGAAGAGTCTCAGTTCTAGAAGTAAAGCTGAAGCAGCCTACAGCTCATGTCTGGTGAGAAGCCTGTATTTGTCAGAGCTCCAACCAAATTCAGTGGTCCGTTTTTTCTTATAGAACAAGAATTTTAGCCACTAACTCAATTTATCCTACAGCACAGTGCTAGGACTTTCCTGTGTTTTGGATAGTTGTTTTGTTTCAGGTTCCAGAAAGCCATGGAATTGTTATTGTCTTTTTTTCAGGCATTTGAGGCATGCATTTTCTGTGGGCTAAATATGGCATTGGATCATGACTCCTGAAGAATACAATAATAATCTTTTTCCTTTTCTTTCAGCTCCAAAAGAAACACTGCTCATTCCTTCCAAACCCAAAACATCTGCCGGGCCAGAAGTACCACAGACTAAACCTGGTAATTTGAAGTTTGTAACTTTAAAAGTGTTATTGTGGCACTGCCTTAGTTACGCTTTCTACTGTCATTCAGTACTGTAGTCATGTCACATGCATGATATGTGGACAAAAATTAGTTTCATTGTTCAGCTCAGAGTATGTTAATAAACTATATCAAAGAGAATGCCCAAGAATTGCATCAGTTTCCACAGAGAGCAGAAGTTGAAATGGTTGAGTTGTTTAACGTTTATTTGTTGAACTGGTGGTTAGTAGCCATTAAAATGTGAGCAATTAGATTAATTTTAATAAAAATATCCTGCTGTAGCCAGCTTCACTAAGTTCTTCTCTTTTGGGAGATTTTATTACCCTAAATACATTTGCTGCAACTTCACAAGTACTTTTGAAACTTGGGTTACAGAGTCTCAGTCCAAGATAGTTAGATGCTAAGAGTATAGGTACCTTCTTCCTATCAGCGATTTTTGCAGTAACTACAATAGATTGAGATGCATAGCTAAAATGAAGGATGATGAGAACTCGACTTTATCCTTTTTATTTCCATAAAAACTGCTGTGCAGGAAGGTTCCAGGGAAAAAAAAAGATTTGTTGGGGAGGAGTGACGATGTGATTATAAGAAAGAGCTGCTCCTAATCTTTCTTACTCTCTGATCTAACCTCCAAACTGAAAATATTTTGGTTTTAGGCAAATGGGTTAATAAATAGTTTTATCATCCGCCCTTTTTTTTCCTCTTAGACCTTAGTCCTTCCTTTTTATATAGCAAAAAAAATTGAACAGAGATCCTATTTGTTCAAGAACTGTACATATATGTAAGAAACATGTATATATATGAAGCTGTACATATATATGAAAATCAAACTGAAAAATTCATGAAAAAACAATCATTTTCTACATGCCTTATTTTGAAAGGCTCTCTTGTAAGTAACCAAGTTAGATTCTAAGTCTCAGTTGAATAAGAGCTATTTCCAATCATGTCATAGTTAAAAAGTGCCATGTTTTGGTACCACTACAAAGTCAGTTTTAGGCGAACAATTTTAGAAAACAGAATTTATGGGTTTATTCTTTTCCTTTTAAATTTTAAGTCATTGTAATTATGTATCTGCAAAATATTAAAAACAAATGGCACTATTTAGCCACTGCCCTTTATGCTAGTGAGTAGGTTACTTTCCAGCTTCCCTATTTTAACATTTTTGGAAGACAAAGAGATATGCAGTGTGTGCCTCTGCCTGCCAGTCTCTCCTTTTCATCCAATAACTTAGATGTCTTTCACTAAAGTCAATCAAATTTGAGTAAGGGAAGAAAGAATGTCTGAAACATAAATACAGTACTAGAAGCTTTTAGAAATATTTGAGGGAAGTGCACATTAAAATACCCGGTGTGAGAAAGACCAAAGACTGTCAGAACTCCACCTTTAGGCCATTTGTTCTGAAATTTGTGGGGGCCCAGGAGAATAGTTGCACTGTCTGGCTGTCAGCCTGAAGATACATCCAGACTAATCCGAACACGTTTGTCTCATGTCTGTTAAAATTGTCTTAGCAGATGTGTAAATAGATTTTTAGGAAACAAAGGACGCAAATCCTTAATGAAATCCAACTTCTTTAATTTCACTTCTCACAGAAATATGTTTTATTTCTCGTAGCTCCAAGGGCAACACACCTGGGATCGATTAACCTTATAACAGTTCATGTCGTTGATGGGTCCAAAATGACTTTGGGTAATGAAACTATTATGTCAGTTTATTTTTCATAGAACTTTACTTTCTCTGCTTTTGCTATATGTCTAAACTTACACTTTAATCAACAGAAATACCTTAATATATCTTTATGTCATGTTCGTTTGTTAACCACATTCCAATGCACATACAAAATGTTGCTGGTTTTAATTTTCCAGCCATTTTTTCTTTCCTGCAATTCTTTCTAGAAATATGTACTTCATGTACAAGACTTGAAGAGTCATATAAAAAGGCATTACCTGATCATCTTTTCTTCTTTTGTCTGACTTCCTAATGATATATCTCTTCCCAGTCTTGAAAAGTCTTTTATCTGTATAAAGGCATGATTTTTAAGCCAGGTTTCTAGCACTGACTCTTTTTGTTTATGATCTGCACAAAGACAGTTTAAATTTACCCTCCACCTGTGGTGTCTTGTATTTAAAAGGAAATAATTTGCATTTGATAAGCAATAATATCTCCACTTTCAGTTCCCAATGAAACCTACCAGATTTCACCCAAGCCCAAAACTGCTTTAGCAACTGAAATTCCACGGTTTAACACAGGTAATTTTTAGGATTTTCTTCAGTTTTTGTATTAATACTCTGTAGTTCTTAAGTAAGATTAGTACGGTTTAAGATTTAATGTTCATTATTACTGTTCATTATTACTTTTAAAACTATTTCAAATATATAACACAAAAAATTATTTTTCCCCATATCAAATAGCTTTTGTTCATTGCTCTGAAAATTGAGGTTTGGTCAGTATTGCCTCAAAGATGATATGAAGCTTTTTAAACAGTACTAGTGCTTTGTATTGGATTCTCAGATGTATAGTGTAGCAAACATAAATGTAACTGACTTCCACCTTTTTCCTTACAAAATAATCACTCTAAATCTGTAAAACTTTTCCCAGATATAAATGTCGAAAATAAGTAATATGTTCTTTCTTACATAAGTATTTTCTCTGACGCTTCAGAGAGGCTGAATGAACTGTAGTGAATAGAATGGTTATTTGATTCGAATATCAAATAGCTGGATCTATTTCTTTAAAAATTTGAGATATAGAGGGGCATAACTTGGCACGAGATCACAATGACTACTGCTTATGCTTTCAGTGTGATTCACACAGATTCTGTAACAACTGAAATATCAAAATTATTTGGCAAGTGAAGGGTGACAGTAAGAAAAGAATGAAGTCTTCCGATTTTAACCTTGATGATGACACTATGCTTCAACATCCCTACACAGTGTCTGCACTGAATGCTTCCAGTTGTTTTCTCAGCAATATTTTAACGTTTCATGTTTTTATCTGAATATTTCATTTGGAGGGGTTCAGTTTGGTGTTTTATTTTGAGGGGTTTTGTTTGTTTGTTTTTTACAGAACCTAATTAAATGTCTTAAGGCCATGGATGCCTTGCAGAGCTAACTCTGTATCCATATACAGATGGGTAACTGGCTGTAAATATTTTATATCTTTTCCTAAACCTAAACATGAATGTCACTGGTCAGACTGCATGATGGAGTCATCTGACCACTTAAGAAACTAGCATTTTCAGCATTTGTTTTGGATTGGAACTTTCGGAATTCTCATGTCCATTTTGCTGTATTGCATTGGTGCATTTTCTGGCAAATTACGCTGCACTATTGGTGTTCCTTTTACACATAGCATTTTAACTGAACTCTCTTCCTTTTAGCGCCTCATAAAACACGTCTCACTTCTGCAAGACCAAAGCCATCTGATAAATCACAGACCAGACCTGGTAATAATTGTTTATTCAGTTTGAGATGGAGAGGAGATTAATTCATTAATTAATTTCAGCTATTCTCAGTGGAATTATAAGTGTTGCTGGGAGAAAAAAGGGTATTTTTCTTTCTTTTTAATCAGCCTAAAGTCTTTCCAAATCAGAAAAAAAGAAAACCCAAACTGTGTGTATCATCACAGCAAGTGTTACTTTTTCTTCTCTAATATGGAATTTTTGACATACATAAAACATTGTTGGGTTTTCTTCTCATGGAACTTTTTTTTCTTCTTCTTTTTCTTCTTCCTTTTTAAACTGTCTCACAGCTCTTATTAAAACCACGCTAGCGCCAGCTAGAACAAAACCACCTGAACTGCCACAGTGGATTGTGCCAACAACAGGTAGAGCTGCATTTTTTGTTTGGTTTTTTTTTTTTTAACTTATCAGTAAAAGACAGGAATATCACTTCCTCAAATCATCTTAAGCCCTGCAAAACGCTGCGTTGTGTTTGATTATAGAAGTTAATTCCTCAGAGTACTGTGTGTAATTGCTGCTACTGGTCATGCTGTATAATTCCCGAGTGTCATTATGAAATGATACTGATGGTCAGTATAAACTTGCAGATAAATTATTATCTGGCTACTGTTTACTGATGTTTTCTCGATTGTGAGTCCAGAATAATTACTGGAAAACACTTTGTTGAAAAGAGTTACCCAGTTGTTTAAGTCCAAGTCAGAAGGATTGGTAAGAAAGCCTTAAAGCAAGCAGGTAGCTTGCTAGCTACTAGCTGTGCACATGGTCTGTTCGCGTTGGACCTACTCATATTCAGACTGTGCCGTATTGGAACTATGCAGTATTCAGGGTTGAATACTTCAGCACCAAAAAAGTTTCAGATTGATGCATGATAGAGGAGGGTGAGAACTGTCACTTCAGTTTACACATCCTTACACAGTCACAGAGATAACATACATCCCTAACCACAAAGATTTATTCAAAATACCAGTTTGGTTGGGGGAAAACCAATTTATCCTTTTTCAATTGTTCTTGAACAGTGCTATCAGTCCTAATTCATAATGTATCTTTTTTTGTTTATTTACTAAAGCATTAATTTGTTATGTCAATGCAAACACTTAGGTTTTTTAATACAGTAATTGGTTAATTAAATACAGAATTTTGGGATCCTTCATCAATGATGAATAAGTATTATAAATAATACACGTATTCAAAGCAAACTTTTGGCTGTTCCCCCACTACTAACAGTGCTACTGTCCCATACTATTCCTCTGTGCTAGCTAGGTTAGGATAACCTAAGTAATATACCGTCTACGCTACACATTCTTTTTTTTTTGTCTGTGTGATGTTTCTCTGTACTAGGGTTCCCAAAGTATCTTTGGCAATTTAATACCTGTCGTTGACCTTAGTATGATTTGAGCTACCCATTCCTGTACATAATTTTGAGAATCCCACCATGTTTTTAGAAATGAAAAAAACTCAGAAGAGATGGCTGTGTATAGAAATTGAACTAAAAATAGCCTGTTTAGAACATGACATACTATTCAGTACTACGTACAGACTGGATGCCCTCTTTGGAAGTATGTGCTTTTTGACCTCTTACAGTCCTTCTGGTAAATGAAATGAGTCCATTGGGTTCCAGGACATCAGAGACAGTTACAGTATTGAATGACAGTAGTTATGGATCAGAAAGTTTTGTTCTTCATTTGCGTTGACAGTCTGCTTATAAGTGAGCTTTCTAATGTCTGATTACCAAAATAGGCAGAATGTACACAGGTCTCCAGGAGTAGGTGAATTTGAAAACACGTTATGAAATTATGCATGAACACACGATTATGTTAGACAGTATGTTAAGCTTTTCCATTCTCCCATATAGTAGTAACCTTGGCAGAGGTATTTTTAAATTAAAAATAAGAAAAAAAAAAGACGACATGCTATGAAAAACAGCAGTATAAGCATAATAGTAGACATATAAATTGTTAAATGTAATTTATTGTCCTTAATGCTGTTTTAGGTGACTGCTAAAATATTGTTTTAAGCAACCTTATTTCAAACGCTCCTGTTGGAGTGCCCACTAGTTGTCATTATTTCCATGTCTTTATAGTAGTGCCAGTTGCCAGGAGGAACTAGAGCTTTGTTGTGACAGATAATGTAAAAAACTGTCACAAGACTACTACCTTCCTGTGGATGCTATGTGTACTCACAGGCAAGCAAGTACCTTCTTCTAGCATTCTTCTGGAAAATAACTTCTTCTAGTAATATTTTCCTTTGCTCAGTTATGTAAGTATTCTTCTCTAAGTTAAAGAAATGTCCTGAAGATGTCTGTTACCTAGATTTTGTGTCCTGCCAAGTGAACCCTTTAAGCTAAACCTGGTGTGCAATGCACTATGGAAGAGCTGGCAGTTATTATCTATTGTCCATTTCTTTGTGCATCCAACCTTGCTTACACAGCAACTCATTGGTATCTTTCTGCAAGTCTGCACCTTTCTTCTGAAAAGTGTAGAGGAATCACCAATGATTTCTGTACGTTCATCACATGTTGAGAGAGGACTACATCTTTTAGCACCTTTTCAGTCTGTACGTTCCTTGATGATCAATAAGTGAATCATAGAATCATAGATTGATTTGGGTTGGAAGGGATCTCGAAGATCATATAGTTCCAACCACACCTGCCACAGGCAGGGACACCTTCCACTACACCAGGTTGCTCAAAGCCTCATTCAACCTGGCCTTGAATACTTCCAGGGATGGGGCATCCACAACTCCTCTAGGTAACCTGTTCTAGTGTTTCACCACCCTCATTGTAAAAAATTTCTTTCTTATATCCGATCTAAATCTCCCCTCTTTCAGTTCAAAGCCACTGCCCCTTGTCTTATCACTACACGCCCTTGTAAAAAGTCCCTCTCCAGCTTTCCTGTAGGCCCCCTTTAAGTACTGGAAGGCTGCTATAAGATCATCCTGGAGCCTTCTCTTCTCCAGGCTGAACAACTCCAACTCTCTCAGTTGGAGAGGTGCTCCAGCCCTCAGATGATTTTCGTGGCCCTTGTCTGGACCTGCTCTAACAGCTCCATGTCCTTCTTGTGTTGGGTGCCCGAGAGCTGAATGCAGTATTCCAAGTGGGTACACGAGAACAGAGTAGAGGGGCAGAATCACCTCCCTTGACCTTTTTCACTTTTTGAAGTGAAAAATTCACTTTAAATTTAAATTTCACTTTTTAAAGTGAAATCCCAGGTCTTCCTAGAGAGCTGATATATCACAGTATTGTGGCAAATACATTGTCTGAGCCTACAAGGCTGTGCTCAAAAAATCATTTTGCACAACAAGATCGTTCAAGTAATCAATTAAAGAAATCTTCTGTATCTCTCCCAAGTAACCTGCAATTACATATTGCAAACAGAATTCCTAAGTTGGTGGAAGAGGCTTAGAAAAGAGAACTCTACTAACCTGGAACCCTCAATCTTACCAGCTGAGCAAAGACAAAAAAAGTTTCTTCTTCAGTAGGTGATATCTTAGAGAAATGAGAACATTTTAAAATATCTGGATGATTTGGAGGGGATGAGGAGGTTTAATTCTTCCATTAAGAAAATGATATGTTATTTTCTGTGGGTAGCTTATCAGAATCTTTAACTTCTGATCTAAGCTGACTAGAATCCTTAATTGGCTGTAAGGAGCAGTATGTTTTCGGGCTTGCCTTTAGCCATTATATCATTTTTTTCTTTCTCTGAAGAATAGCACATTTACTGAAGAGCCATGGATACTCTTGTTTGAAGACCAGTTTGGATCTTTTAATTCTTTGCTGGGCTGTTGAATGTATTCCAGTTGTTCCTCCTGATAGTGCTCATTAGCATCAGTGCAAAGATGCTTTATCCCATGCAGACCATGCTCAGCAGCTGCAGGGCCCTGATGATAAGCAGTAGAATTTGTTTTATCCAGCAGCAGCACATGGGATTGTGACTGGTTTCCTGGCAGGCTTTTCAGTTTCCTGGCTAGCTGTAGTGCCAGGTGGTAAACTTGGCTGTGGGAAAGAGACAGGGATTGTCTCCTCATGACTAACATTCCTTTTAGTTTTCTACCACGTTTTAGCCATTTTCTCTAGAGTTTCATTTTATTGAGATGGATTTTTGTATTTGTCTTAGTGCGTGTAACTTATCTTACTCAGGTGGTGTTTTTTATTTAATCCTAACCATTTAAAACCTGCTCCTAATTTATTAAGCTTCAAGACAACCATCAGCAAACAAATTATGAGCAACATTTCCATTTCCCTTGTAAAAGAGAGATAGTTTGTTTTCATCATAACAACCATTAACTTTGTGTTCTATTCTCTTTTTGGTTTTGAAACTCTTTTTGTTCTAGAGAAACTCAAGTATTAAGGTATTTCAGTTTGTTTTATCAAGGGCGCTTTCCAGGTCTTCACTTAAAATGATCTACCCTTCTCACGATATTCCGGCTATTAAAGATGCAGTCGTTAGTTTTAAGGTGTTCCAGACCCCATGAATGTTTCCAGGAAAAAAGATAGAAGTAAAAAGAGACACAAACACACATGCAAGCAATACATCTATTCTCAGCTCTGTTAAAGTTTGGATGCATGTGGTAAGTTGAAATGTTTATAATAAGCAAGTTACCCCAGCTAGCATAAGGCAAATGCTATGATAAATACAGCAAGCTGTCTGATAGTGCAGGTATCTTGTGTGAAAACTCAAACTCTTATGTAACTTTAAAATGCATTGAAACATTCAAAAAGGAGACTTTGTCAACAGGGAAGTGTTGTGATTTGATCAACTTTTTCCCTGAAACTTCGACTTATTTTCCATTACTACATTACTGATGTCAGAGCAGCAGTGTGAGTTTCTGGAAGAAAAATTACTTCTTCCATCTAGAATGTATATAGTATTTTGTTCATTCCTAGCTGATACAGCTCAGAAAAGATTGTGATTCTGAATTAGATTGTAAGGAGTAGGACAGAAGTAGGCTTTTCTGTAGGTGCTGTAAGAAGCAAGACAAAATTAGACTTGTTATGGATACTTGAGTGATTCAGTGTGATTTAGTCGATGTACTACTATATTTTGTTGATGTGTTTATTGTGAGATGAAGCTCAGAAACTAAACATACTCTGACTGTGAACTGTGGTGTACAAGATTATTTTTCTTTTTAAAGCTGGTGCTGGTCTTCTCATGCATCTTCTTCCTTGAACACCATTCACGTGAAACATTGATTAGCTCTCTGGTGCTTTGTATCTAATCTACTAATTAATTAAGATCTAATTAACCACTTTAGTTACCTGAAGACAAATTGCAGTTATATGAAACCACATGATGTGTTTAGAAATTTTGATTGCAGGGACCACATGACCTGCATCCTGTTTCCCAGCTTACTACAAGACTGATTATTTTAATTTAAGTAAGTCATTAAATGCTTCCATATTATTGTTTTCCCCTGTAAGGAGTACTGAGACTCCGTCACACTTTTGGAGAGTGTAGAGTTTCTATTTAATCTCACTTTGAGTGTAGTGCCACAACTATGGATTCACAAGGTATGCCTATTAAGAATGGCCAAATAGTAAAATAATTGAGAAATTATTGGCTTTGTGCTGTTGAGACACTAGTTTAATCTCAAAACAAGCTGAGCACCAGTTTATAAATCTGTGAAGTCTTTGGTTGAAATGTTTAAATCATGTTGGAATAGGCTTGGAATTTGATAATTAATTTAATTTTGAAGGGGAGGCAGGTTATGGGATTTTTTTAATACTTTAGCTTTTAGGTTTTTTTCTTATGAAAAAGAGTGATTTATTTCTTTCTTCCCAAACACAATGAAATTACAATGCATTTTCTCACTCTACCTTATATAGAGTTTTTATATAGTAAATATACTGATTTTTTAGGGAAATATTAATCTAACAGTCTGCTCTCCTGTAAACATGTGAAACAGTTGCTCTCTACCAGGAGTGGTTGTGTTGATCTTTTTAAAGTCATTTACCTCAGATTTATTAAAATAAAAGTTTATATAACTTTTAAGTAGGACTTTTTTCTATGTACAAACTGAATTTTATGTACAGTTTGCCTCCAGTACTCCAAATACAGTTCAGAGTTGATCTAGCCATTCGATGTGGAGAATAACCAAAGATCTTATTTTTGGGAAGAAGGAGAACTTTGCAAGAATCAATGGGCATTTTATTCTGTATACTGAAACACTGAAATGTTCTCTATACTCATCTTTCCACATATAATCTTGATTTAACTCATCTGTTATCTCTTAATCTTACTCATTCTCTCTTTCCTAATATACTTTTTTCAAGGAATGTTTAAAATTAAATTACAGAATCTTCTAGACCAAGACCACTTTCTACTTACTTGAAAAGGAAGATAACACATATTACTCAGTTATCAGTAAAAATGGGCCATATATGCCAGTTTTGCACTTAATGTTAGGTGCAATTTAAACATATACAATATAGAAATATTCCATGACTTGGTACTGCACTGTAGATACTTGTTTCATTTTCTTTTGTTTCATAGATGAAGTATATACACCTGAGGATATTGCCAGACAAATTGACATGGATGTGGAAAAACCTTTGGAATATAGTCATACCTGGGAAAAGCCGTTTTCTGGTAAGGTTAATAAAAGAAGACAATATAGCAATTTTTAACACTTGTGAAAAATAAAACCACTGCCTTTCCTACACTAAAAAAAACACCTGTACTGAAGAAGACAAAATAATTCATAGTCATTCTCATCAATGCACATTGTCTTGGTTTTAGGATGCTACTAAAAGAGGTAGAAATAATAATATTTCATGGTCACTACTTAGTCACTAACATATGCCATATATTAAGAATTACCACCATCATTGTTGTATCCTTACGATCAAACAGCCACAATACTGTAAGCACTGATTTTTTCATACTAATAGTTTGTACATGGCAAAGGACAACAGGGAGAATGCATAACCAGATTGTCCTCCCACTTACAAAAAAGTTTTGTTGAACGTTAGGGTTGTTAGGAAAATTAGAACGTTCAGCTTGATGCGAAATAATAAGGTGGAGTAAATAAGGTTACAGTTTTTTCACATGCGCTGTACCAGGCTTGTCCATTTTGCTTTTCTTGCAAGTCTTGCAATCACATTTTCAAGACAATCAAAATATTTTTAGGGAAAATGGCTTACTCAAATAGGCCTTCAAAAATAGGCTTTTTGTGTTTCACTTTTTTCTAGTCAACTTCTTAGAAATTTTCTTTTTCAACTGAAAACTGATGTTTGTATGCCACATGTGTACACGATTTTTTGTTTTATTAGCATGACCAAGAATAGAGCTTGTTTTAACTATGCTTTTTTGCTGGCAAAACTGATCAAAAATAAAATATTTATTAGTTTTGGCCTTTGATTTACTTTTCAGCTGCAGCTGCTCTTGTTAGTTAGATTTTCCTTTGAAAATGTGTTATTAGACATAAAAACACAGACAGGCCTCCTACTAATTTATGAACTGCTGTTTACTCCTAATCCCTGCTGAATTTCCTTTGCACCTAATCTACCTGCACAAAGACAAGAGTCTATCGTGACAGCTGAGTTCTGATGTTTCATCTTTTTGAATTTTATTTGATTTGAAGATTGTACTTTGCAAAGGTTAAGTCCAGCGTGTGATATACCATTAGCAGTAGCTAGATGCAGACTGTATGGTGGTGCTCTGCTTTCTTTTGTTACTGAATGTCAGGCAGTGGTGTGTATTTAAGTAAATCTATCCTGTGATTTACAGAGACTGGAAGGTTTTTTATGCACATAGATTTGAAGAAACATCTACACCTGCTTTTACTCATCTTACGACATTAGATGTTTAAGTTAAGCTTTTAGAGCTTTGAAGTAAGCCAATACCATACATTGAACTCTATTCGTAAGAGACCATTGGATATGGTTTTGAAATTAGCTACTACTGTTTTGTAATTTTTTTGCATCCTTCTGTGATCTCAGCTCTCTTCACGAGGCCTTACCATGTATGTCAAAATACAGATTTATAGGATCATAAAATAGTTTTGAGTTGGAAGGGATCGTCTAGTCCACCATCCACCACTACCCCCTGCCGTGGACAGGGGCACCTTGCACTAGACCAGGTTGCTCAAAGCCCCATCCAACTTGACCTTGAACACTTCCAGGGATGGGGCACCCACAACTTCTCTGGGCAACCTGTTCCAGTGTCTCACCACCCTAACAATAAAGAACTTAATCCTTATATCTACTCTAAATCTACCCCTTTTTAGTTTAAAACTGTTACCCCTTGTCCTGTCACTACAGGCCCTAGTAAAAAGTCTCTCTCCATTTTTCTTATAAGGCCAGTTGAAGTATTGAAAGGCCACAATAAGGTCTTCCCGGAGCCTTTGCTTCTCCAGGCTAAACAACGCCAACTCTCTCAGCCTTCATAGGAGAGATGTTGCAGACCTCTGATCATTTTTGTGACCTTCCTCTGGGCCCACTCTAAGAGGTCCATGTCTTTCTTGTACTGAGGACCCCAGAAGAGCATGCAGTCTCATGAGAGTAGAGGAGGAGAATTGTCTCCCTCGACCTGCTGGCCACACTTTTTTTGATGCAGCCCACGATACAATTGGCTTTCTGGGACACATTGCTGGCTCATATCTAATTTTTAATCTAGCAATATACCCAAGTCCTTCTTTGCAGGGTTGTTCTGAATCCATTTATCACCCAGCCTGTACTGAGACTGATGATTGCCCCAGCCCAGATACAAGACCTCGCATTTGGCCTTCTTAATCTTTATGGGGTTTGCATTGGCCCACTTCTCCAGCCTGTCAGGGTCTGTCTTGATGGCCTCCCTTACTTCAAGCATATCAACTGCACCACTCAGCTTGGTGTCATCTGCAAATTTGCTGAGGGTGCACTTAATCCCACTGTCTATGTCATTAATGAAGATATTGAACAGTACTGGTCTCAATATGGACCGCTGAGGGACACCGTTTTACTGATCTACATTTGGACATAGAGCTGTTGACTGCAACTCTTTGGGTGGAACTGTCTAGCCAGTTTCTTATCCATCAAATAGTCCATCCATCAAACCCCTATCTCTCCAATTTAGCGACAAAGATGTTGTGTGGGATCATGTCAAAGGCCTTGCAGACACCAACATAGATGGCATCAGTTGCTCTTCCCTTGTCCACCAACACAGTCACTCCATCCTAGAAGGCCAACGGATTAGTCAAGCATGATTTACCCTTGTGAAGCCACGCTGGCTGTCTCTAATCACCTTTCTGTCATCCGTATGCCTTGACATAACTTCCATAGGAGGATCAGTTCTGTCATCTTACCATGCAAATAGGTGAGGCAGATGAATCAAATGTTTCTATAAGTTAGCCAGTATTTCGCTTTCCCTTTAAATATATTTAATTTTTCTGAAAATTTAGTATGTTTTAACTGAAAAAGTTCACATTTAGACTATTTACAAGGAATGAAAAAAATAGGTTACAGCACATGAGAATTAAGCTATATGTGTTAAGAGACTACCCTAAGAGGCTGCACACACCCCTTTTTCATGAAGAGTGACAGTCAAGGAAATACATTCCCTGTCCTCAAAGGACCGCTGAGATTAAATAAATTCTAATAGTTCACTGTGCCACTGTCCTTGTAAGAATCTACGCTGTCACAAAACCCCTGAATTCTGTTGTGTGTCCTATTTTACAAGCTTGGTCTCCACACGTTGTTAATTAGATCTGGTAGCATTATAGACCATTGCCCAAATCACTGTGGAAATAGCAGAAGGGAAGGGTAGGGATTCTTGTTTCCAGAGTGCGGTACAGCAGATTCAGCTGTGACACAGTCCACTGAATGTGATGTTTTGGCTTGCATGTAACTTACAGTTGTGTTTTTCAGGATACAATAGAAACCACTGACAAGTCAGTACTTGCACATTTTTACTCTGTAAATACCTCCAACAATCCCATTCCCTAAATATAGGCAGGGGGAAAATAGATCGTGGATACTGCCAGGTAGTAGTATCTAGATTATGATGACTTATATATACAAAATTTATTATCCTTTTTCAGGTCTTTAGGCATATATTTTTCATCTCCATCTGGGAATTAAGAATGAATATGAGACCTACAAATGCTATTTTCAGAACCATTGCATCTTCCTGAATTAGATAGAGCATTATTTCTTGTCTTGATCTGAGGAATTTTAAAAACATGTGTTTTATAAGTGACTACAAAAGTCCAAAAGGAAAAGGGAACAGAGAAAGATGGAGATGTCCCTGTTTCTATATTGTATTTCTGAAAAGGCTCTCCCAAACGAGTCTTTGGACCTGCTCCCTTCTCACCCACAGTTGTTCTCTTTATAGGGTGAACTAAGGTCTGATATGTAGGGTCCAAGGTACACTGTGCAGCCAATAACTCAGTATCAGGCAACTTGCATACTTGTTGACATTGGCAGCGTTATAAGAATTATAGTACTCTTGAGGATTTTCCCCTGTTAGGTACAAAAAGTCTTTTGTTACAGAAATGTGTTGCACATATAACTTGAGAAAAAGTTTGCAAAGAAGTGCAAAGGTGAATAGTGGAAGAAAAATCTTTACCTTTCCTTTGCATAAATAAAATCCTTTATAATTGCCTGGAAACTACAGTAAAACATTTTTGAAGTATGAATTAAGAGACTTAGGCTCTCCTTTCAGACCTCACTGTCAAAGGACCTTACCAGATAAATTTAATAGATACTGACTGGAAATGCATTTTGAAACAAACTAGCTGGGTGCTTCAGGAGTTACTAAGGCAAGAACTGTCTCCAGCCATGTCACTGTGACTTTTTTCATTTTTCACTTCTGAACAGCATGTGATAAAGTGTTGCTAATGATAATTTCCCTTTTGCTACATCTTCTGCTTCAAGCTGAGAGCGACCAGTTTTATCAGTTAGAAAGTACAAAAGATCAGAAGTTTTGTGAGCAGGGTACTGAAGATGTTTCCAAGTACACTGAGGTGGTGTTTATTGTGGAAGAAGTATCCTGTTGGCTGCCAAAAAATTGCCATTGACAGAAATGAGTAACTACACAGAAAGTGAATCACTGAAACACTTGTACAAAATCCCAAAGGAGCTACATTTTTTCGATATAAGCTTGGTTTAAAACTCACTTCCCAAAGAATGTAAGGCTGAAAATACAACTTGTTTCAGTTCCTAACCTCATCTCCCCACTTTTGATACTGAATCAGACATGAAACATTGTTTGAGAAGTCAGAATATAACTTGCAATGGGTTTCTGATTTTACGGAGTTTGAGGTTAAATAATTAATAACGCTTTCTTGTAATGTCCTTCAGTAACTACATCACCTGGCCCTCGTCATCCTCCTATACCTCCTGTCAAGCCTACACAAATGCGAAGAAAACCCCTGCCTCCAAACACCGTGACTGGCAAACCGGGTAGTCCAGGTATCTCGACCTTTTCAGCATCAATACTTTGTGATGTGTGAGATAATACTGAACTGACTAGTAGGGTATAGGAGAATTTTACAGTATAGATTATTTAATCTGTGTTATCTATAGAAACTAGTCTTCTGGAACATACAGGCATTGTGTCTTTTGTCCTCATACATAAACTCTGGTTTTCTTTTGTTTTCCTGACCTAATTATGTCGAAATCATCCCCAGTAAGGGAGCTGAGAGCAAAATACCATAATTCAACATATCCTTTAAGATCAGCCTGAAGAACATTTCATGTCTACTAGTAACGTTTGCAGTTGCTTAACGTGCATGTCAGATGGGAGATACTGAATAATGTGCTTCGATGCATACTCCCAGCTGGTTATTCGTACAGAAATTCTGTCACATATAGACGGCACATCTGTCAACACTGCAAATAACGAGCTGATAGGCACCCAGAAAACTAACTGCACTGGGTGGTAGAGTGAGCTGAGCTATTTCATGTGCAAAGAGTTTAGCTTCGTTCCTGTGCTATAGTATTCCTACTCCCCAGTATCAGTATAAGAGCACATAGAAACTTTCACATTTCGTATTTTAATTTTATTCTGAAGGTGATATTCACTATCCTTACGTATTTTTTGTCAGTGGATCCTACGTAAGAATCCTTAGGCTAATGTTATTCCAGGTATTCAGAAACTATCATCTCGTCATGCATGGCATCATGAGAAATGCTTCCCTCTTCATATTACTCCCTGTAGTTCACTGGAAATATAAAGGTGTTGGCTCTGCTGTATTTTCTGTTGGCTTTTTTTGGTTCGTTTCGTTTGGGGCTTTGTGTGCTATTAAGGCACTAAAGACCTAAGTAATTCTTTAGTATTTTGTGCGGAAGATTAGAAGCAAGAATCTCCAAGCTGAATGAAACAAACTGTATGTTTGCTCAACAGGAGAGCCAAGATCAAAATGTTGTGTCTGTACTTGCTGTTGATCCCTGATGTTTCCTTAGTAATAACTACAACAGAACATAAAACATTGTCAGCCTTAAGCTGTAGCATAAAAAAATGTTGACCTGATAAATTTTATTTTGCTTTTAATGGAGTCTATGCTGATTTTCTCCATTAAGTGTCTAATTAATTTACCAGTTTTAAAATTTCACCCTTTTTCCGTACACTAGAGGCCAGATTATGTAGTAGTCAGCAGTTACCATACCTTCCTAGGCATTCAAGATGGAATAAATTGGTTAGATGATCTGGTTCTTCCTTGTGGGGCGAGTAGCAGATTTTCCTTCTTATGTGTTTCCTAGTGTTTTATCCAGCTCAGTTTTAAACATCATAATTGAATTTCTTCTGGTTCCCTGGAGAGACTATTACACAGTACTAACAGGAAAAATTTGCTTCAATTTTCTTCCTAGATTTTCCCTTTCATAATTCTGTCCTGTTTCTCTTTCACATTAACTCTGTGATTAATTCCTTACTTGCATCTTTCTTAGTCATCCAGTGGATTAGTATTATGGGAAGGTTTCTATGTAGACATTGAAAGTCTCCTGAATGGAAGAAAAATAAATAAGAGATTTCCAGTTCCTGTCTAGTAAGAATCTTAAAAAATTTCCATTTTATTAAGGAAGTTAGTGGAAAGCAGGGAGAGAATCTTCATTACAAGTATCTTAATAAATTTTCATTTCATTAAGGAAATTAATGGAAGGTAGGGATTTTTGTCATTTTAAACTGGGTTCCCTAAGTTCTGCCTTCAGTTACCATGTTCTTCTGTGTCATAACTACGTTATGTAGTTCTTGACTTTTGGGGTTTGAGATTTCAGTCATGCAGTGGTTATCTGGGAGTATCTGCATGTTTTGTGAATATAGGTCTTGTCTTTTACAGCTATTATGAAAAGAATCAAGACATCCTTTGCCATGAATTGTTTGCCTCTTAGAAGCCTGTTTTCTTTATTAGGTGATGACGGCTGAGGAGTAAAAGCAATGTCACATAATCTAAAATATTTTTTAAAATAGCTATTTAATTATGGGAGACCGCATTGCCTCTATCAAACATTTTCTGTCCAAACTTATGTTGACTACTACAGAATAGATCACTTCAGAAAGAAAGCTTTTTCCCTTTGGTCATATAGTGTTGGACTTCATGGCATTTTTTTTACCTTCATTTGAAGTGCATCTTAATTTCATTTAGTGGAATCTCCAGTGCTGTCCTGTGATTAAACTCTTAATGCAGACCATAGTTAAGGACTCAGTGTTTATCATTCTGCATGTGCCAGCTCCAGCCTTGCTAATACATATGCTGCATTAAGAGTAGAAATGAAAGGACCTTACCTATGTTTGAGGAAAGAATCCAGATTTTGGTTACTGACTTTGGCTATTCAACTCGTGAAGAAATGTGCTTTTTTATTTGAGGAAGAGAAATGCCAATGCCGGTCATTTCACATCCTTTTACCAATCTGTGCAGGATGGTTCTGTGCAGTAAACCAGGTCGCATTCTAAGCTGACTGAAGTTCTCCAAGACAGTCTCCAAGTAGCAAAGAATTTTCTTACAAGGTTTCATGAGTAGGTTATGTTGGCAATAAGGACAACTCAGAACTTTCCTACATCCAACTGGAAGCTGTTGTACAAGTTATGAGGGAATATCGTAGCTTAAATGACAGTACTTGTCACAAACATCAGTTTTGTTAGAAAATCAGAGAGCTGTTTCACTCTTTTAAATAGTGAATGCCTTGTTGCCACAAGTCCCTCCTTCTGTCACTATAGCTAAACCTGCTGGACCAACACCACCTGTGAGGACGGGAATGTCATATAAGACGCCAACAGCTTTTGCAACTCCAGAGTATTATGGTAAGCATGTTATAGACAGTTCTGGGTTTTTGTTTGGTTGGGGGTTTTTTTATGAACATAATGATTTCCTTTTTTCTTTTGTTTCCTTTCCCTAAACTATATTGATGCATTGTATATTTAATGTAAGTAGTATTCTGTGTGGGGTGATTCTGATTTCCTTTATGCTGCTTTGCAACTTTTCTAACTTGACTGAGTTCATCTGGCTGCCTTCTGATACATACCATGGTAAATGAAAACATGACGGCCTTCCATCTTCCCAGAAATCAATACATACTTAGTGAGCTTTCAGTACCATTCAGTGGCTACTTTAAATCTGTGAAGGGACTAGATAAGGCACTCTTTTCCCTTAACGTTTCTTTTTGCACAGGACATAAATTCACACTATTATTTGACAGTGACTAATAGTTCTCAACATGGTTCTGATATCCTCCTAGCTATCTGACCAAACTGCCACCATTTAAATAGAAAAAAAAAGTATAGGGTAAACATAGCAGCTAGTTGGTAATTTTCCCATTATAAAATTGGGAATTAACTAAAAGTTCGGACCTAAATCTCCTCAAAGTGCGCTGCAGGAATGGGTTTGGGAAGGAGAAGCTTAGAACTTTTCGAGCCAAAATATGCAGCTCTAGGTATATTGTCATAAATGGTGCTGTTTCTAATTTTCCTGGATTTATAGAAATACTGAAATACTGTCTCCTTATAATGATCATTAACTCACTGTGACCCTTAGTGCTCAGTAAAGCAAACTGGATGCTAGATTTATTACAAAACGCTTGTTGTGAATATGTTGCTTTTCATCTGTTGAGGTCAATTGTAGTCATTCCATTTGAGAGAAGATTCTGCTCAGTATCGTGGCTATTTAACACAACACTGGTGTCATGAACCCTGACTGCTTTAGCATGTTTCTGTTTACCAGTGTATTTGCCTTCAATTTCCTTCAAATTTTGTGGAAGTTGTACACGCTGGAGACAGAATTTGTGATTTCCTTGTTGCTATTTTTAAAGAAGTTCATGTGCCAGCGTAATAGTGGTCTATATTCTATGAACATGAAACAAGCTCCAAGCTAAACAGCCGGTACATTGCAAAAAGATCTTTTTAAAAGGTCTAAAGAGCTTTTTGCATATATTGCGTGAACTGAATCCAGCAGCGGTCATGAAGTCTGTCATTTTGGTTATGGCTGTCTTTATACTAGCAGGTAAGTATGGGGTTTACTTAGCATCACAGCCAAAATGGAGTCCTTAAAAGGAAAAGACAAATTTGGCAGCAAAGGTCTATCATGGAAGAGCTTTACCATGTATTAAAATGCCAAATGAACTGTGAAATGCTGTGGTTCTAACACTGAAACTTCATATTTGTTGCAAATTAAATTATAACTGTGTTTCCCACAGTTGATGCAACTGTCTTCAGCTCAAGTCCTACATCAGAAACAGATTCTTCAGGCAAACCAAGGTACCAAGGTAGGATCTTAATAGCTATGGGGTAATATATGAAGACTGACCTATCTTGCATCAAAATTATCTTGTTTGGTTATTTGAAGGCCAAAACTTCATTTGATTCTGCGTCACTTTAGTGTCAGATGAAAGGGCTTCAGTGCAGACCATCAGCATACTCTTGACTAAGTTTCACTTCTACTTTCTTCTGTGCTACCACCTCCTAGTTTACAGTCTTTCCCAAAAACATGTTGTACTACTGCTGGCATACAGGAAGAGCCACAAGTGCATGCTGTTCACATTCCACCTAACCAAATTAAAATCTTCCTGTGGGCTTGCAAGCACACATGGAGAGGTATCGCCTCAGTACCAGTGCACCTTACCATAAGGGATATCCACCCATCATACATGCCTCACCTCTCATTCCAGGCTGTGCACGTTCAGATGGTCTAGTAATATGGTAACATATACTAGACTAGATGATAAAGTAGTCAAGTTATTGCTGTTGCAGTAATCTGGACAGTTTAGAAAGGTGAGATGACAGGAAGAAGTGCTTTTGTACCTGAAGATTTTTCAGGTTTTTTTCATGGTCTGGTAAGAGACGTTATGTTTCTGAAGATTCTGCCTTTCTTGCAAGAGCTTATTGTTTACATCCAATAGAAGTTTTAATTTTAGAACTAATATGTTTGTCTTCAGTAACCTTCCTAATTTTGATGCAGAGTACCAGACATTTGCCTCAGAAGCTTTGAGGCAAAGCTCAAAAGAGAAGGTTTGGTCCTGTACCACTGAAAATGTGTAAGATTTTTACATTTGTTTGAGGAACTGCAAGTTTAATGATGGAATGACTCTGGACCAAACTTGTTACTCTTTCTCATGAAACAAAGTGGCGATAGGCAATACATCTTTGTATTAGCATAGCACTCAAAGATACAAATGGAATTGTAGCATCATTTTAGTGTAAAAGGACTAAAGGTAATTGTCCTATTTTATGACACAAGTTAATGATTTCAAATAGTCCGTATCACCCACTAATACCTTCAGACTGATATTTTGTCAGTGGTGCCAATGGGAAGCGGGTGAAGGCAGTGCAGATTCCAGGTTTAACAACAATAAAAAACCCAACAAGCAGCTTAATATTGAATATATGGGGTTTATTCTTAAACATTTATGTTTGACTTCTGCAGGTTTTCACTTAGTGCCCTGAGATAGAAGTTGTGTGCTAGGTGAAATGGCATTGACATTTTGTAAAAAAACTGTCTTGAATAACGACTCTTTCCTACTGGTCTTAGCCCCCCATGTCAAGTACATGAAGAAAGATGATGATGTACCTTGCTCTATCACAAGCTCCCTTGAGCATTTTCCTCAAGAAGAAGCTAGCAGCAAGGAAGAACCAACTCGTCCTCCACAAAATCCTCCAACCAACCTCACAGTGGTGACTGTTGAGGGCTGTCCAACTTTCGTCATATTGGACTGGGAAAAGCCAGACAATGACACTGTTACTGGTTGGTTTGATTTCTTTCCTCCATTATATCAGTAGAGTATTTCCAGTTTATTTTTACTTTCACAATAGTTTTATGCCATTTAAAAAATACTTTAATCCCAAGGGAGTCTTACACTCTAGTGCATTTATTTTGTGCTATTGTCAACTCCAGTGTGGATAAGATGATGCTACTAGATTAGAACAAGATTTTTGCAACTATATCATTGGTGTCAGTGATGACACAAAAAGATACTTAAGAGAGGTATGACTCTGTATATTCTCTTAATTTCTGGCTTCTCTTTGTATAGGATTGGTAAGATCTAGTCAGTAAGTTCCAGCAATGTGATAGTAGTCTTTATTATATAGATGCATACAGATCATGTAGACATCTTTCTTGACTTGAGGATGTTGTTGATCAGTGGGCTGGACACAATGAAACCTTACGTCCATCCAGTAAGTCAGTAGAACTCTGCCAGCATAACACCTGCTGTACCCACCATAGGCTCACCAAGTTCTCTATGTTAAAAGAATCTGTTTTTTTTTATTTCCAAAGGAAGTTTTTTGTATTGAGAATAAATCCTTGTGAGTCATGAAGGAATTAATACATAGACAGGTGAGCATACAGATGACCATTCATAATTTTTCTGTTGTCTTCTGTATATCAACACAAGCTTACCAAAATTGGACGTTTACATTAATTAACAACTGAAAATTACGGTTCTTCTGTACTGTCAGGAATATGGCTTTTGTTTTTGTGATGGACATAAAACTTTGATTTGCAAAATCACTGGCTTATCACAGCCATGACCAAACAGATGCGGCTGTGTTGCATTATGAGTAGAACAGATAAGGCTAATAAGGACTAAGACTCAAGCAGTAGCCAGTCACTTTAGCATGTAAGTGGGATGTTTCAGATGTTATTGTATATGCATGTCATGAGAGATTTCAGTGCAGGGGTATAATTAGGTGACTGTCACAAGCAAGGCCACTCTCTTCCCCAAATTAGTCCTTCCTTGATTTTCTACAAATAATTACTAGGTTTAGCCTTTATTCTTTCTTGCTCTCTCCGTTTTGAAAAACAATAAATGCAAAACCAAAGGGACACTCAAACTAAAAATTAGCCCACACTTTTTTCTTCTGGGAAAAAGGAATAAAGTTAGCCCTTCTGCTGGATTAAAAGGGGAATAAAAAGAGACTGTAGGCTAATGAAAAGTACCAACAAGAGAGAAGAATGATTACCTGGCTTGCTTTCCACGATGTGCTTCATCCTGGAAGAAAGGGAAGTGTGAGCTTATTGCTAACCTTAGAATTAGGCTGAGGATAGGCTCTCTGCAAATACTCCCCACCCCAGGCAGTTCTGTAATGCTTCCTTTTGTTCAGGGAAAAGCCTTTTTGTCACTCTTGTCATTTGGAGGCCTCCTCCACAGACCAGTCCTTAGCTTGATTAGATCAGATAACATCATTTAGTCCGCATGTTTTCTTGGAAGTAGAATTGCTGGTTTTGAGTATGCTAATGAACCCACTGCAGCACAACCATTTTTCTTGCAAAAACAGAAAAACGTTTCCACTATAGCTGGTAAAACTGTCCATATACGTCATCTAATGATGAGAACAAGGCCTAATTGCCTTCTGGAATGTTTCCTTTCTTTTTCAATGTGTGTTGTGAAATATAGAGCAAGCAATACTCCCTGCTTCTTCTTAAAGTGGAAATTCCTTCTCTGTTCAGTTGTAATCAGCATTTGTAAAAGTTAACTTTCTGTGAAGTTTCTTCTCTTCTATAGAGAAGACTATTCTGTGACAACTGAGACACCTGGCATACCCTTCCCCACTCCAGAGAAGATTAAGACCTTCTGCAAAATATGTGACTAGTACTCCTTTTACCTCACAGAGAAACTCTAGTTTTCAACCTAGCTATCTTCCTATCTAGATGTAACAGCTTTTCCATAAAGACCATCTTCATTCTTTTTAACTTCAATGTGTAATGCAAAATGTTTGAACTCTGTGGCTGACAAATACTCTCATTGAGCTTGTCTCCTTTGCCTTAACTTCAAAAAATTATTCAGTTAATGAATCATCCAAGGACACTTTCTGAATTCAAGAGAAGGCATTGAATCTCATTTTCTGGAAACAGTGATTATTTCATATTGGCATCAGTATGACATTACTTGTTTAGGCAGACTTAAATCAAGTTTTCTGTCATCTCTTTTTATTTTTATAGTTTGTACATGTTTTTTCAACCATCTGATTTAGGCATCACATTTTTTTTTTTAAATGCACTGTCTCAGATAGAACTGTGGAAACAGAAAATGTAATTTGTTGAGCCATTTTTTTGAAACAGTTATTTTGTTTGACTTTTAGCTATGCACAAGGGGTTTAATCGTACTGGGTATTCCTAAAAACAAAATTGTGCTTCAGCAATGGAAAGATCTGACAAATAATAACCAAAACAGTGATCAAGCTCACCTCCTTGTTTTCATAAAGACTGCAAATGTCAGGAACGAAGACCCCTTTGCTGGTGCTCTGCTACTCTTACTGTGTTACCTCAGAAACGTAGGGCAGTTTGCTGCCTTGTGCACTGAGACTCGTGCACTGAGTAACAACCAGGTACGGGATGCACTCAGTAATGCTCCGTGCATATATATGTGTGTGTGTGTGTGTGTGTGTTTGCATGCCTGTTCACATGAGCTGTGTTTTCTTTTCCAGCTTGAATGAATTAAAAAATTCAAATCACATATTGACTTGGAGCTGGCAGAAGGCAGAAAGATTGAATTCCTGTAAAGTTTATTTAAAGACTCATTGTCTCTTTAGATGTACCTAAGGCAGTGGATATCCACCTTCTCTCACATGCTTCCTAATAAACATAATTTCTCTGATGAGGCTTAATTAGGGCAAATAAGGGCTTTTGTGTGTTGGGGTTTTTTTTGTCTGTGGCTCACTCAGTCCATGGTGGCTGTATAGGAAAAGGTCTTTGTTTCCAAAAAGGAAATGCATAGAGAGAAAACACAGATATGTTTTACTCAAATATCTGCTAACTATCAATATTTATATCTTTGATCATTGCATTGGGGTTCCACTTGAACAAATGGTCTCAGATAAAAGCCCTCTACTTACTTTTTTTTTTCCCCCTGCTCCTTCCCACCCTCTCATCATTCCTACAGGTCCATGAGTTTGATTCTAAAAGGCAGTGGTTGGTCTTTCGCTATTCATGGGTGACTGTTGTAGGGGAGGACTTCTGAACATGGAAATTTCAAAATCTTCAGTATTGACAGTAATTCCTTCCTTCATGCTGTCTTTCTGATGTACTTTTAAACCTATTTTAAAGTTTTACCTTCCTCTGTATATGCCCTAAATAACTGAGTGTATTACAAGGTAAAGATAAAAAGATTCTATGTAGAAGTTCTTTTTGAAACTATTGCAGTAAATCTGAAACTCACGTGTGCATATATGTATATAATTGCTCAGATTGAATTGCTATGGTTTAGAAGCGTGGAATTCTAGAACGTAATTTTTAGGGCTGCTCTGCAGTTCCACTTAATTGCATTGTCTTACATAATTTACCCAGCAGTTTCAATGGATACTTTTTACATAAAATAGTGCAAAGGAATCCATAGTTACACTGTCGAGGTCAAAATCAGGTCAATTGATCAAGTGTGATCATATCAGGTGTGTCATCTCCTACATTTACTAGAAGTGAGGATCTGAGAGTCTAGCGACAATTTAGAGAGTTTTTTTCCTTTTTAGCGCTAAATCCCACTGCAGGTGTTTTATCTTTCTGTGTTCACAACAAATAGGTCTCCTTGTATTGTGAACTAAAAAATATAGCAAAACAAAAAAAAGCCCTACAGCTTGCTAGCATTTAGTTAAGAACTCAAAAATTAATAGTATCATTAGAAAACAACAGGAAAGAACATAATTTTCTAGAGTTTTTATAGCTGTCGACTAGGTGGTTTCTGTCTTTGTCCTCACAGTATAATACCTGCTTTATTCATGCACTGTAGATCTAAATGCTCATTGCAAATGTTCTTTGAAAACATTTTCCTTTGCTAGCTTACAATTAGCAAAGCTGCACTTGGTGTTATAAACAGGTTTTACGACGGGAAAAGGAAGGATCTAGGGAGACTGTGAATTTCTTTGCAAAGAGAGGAAAATTAGCAATATATTGAGTCTGTTTATTAGAAAAGGTTGTTGTGAATCAGGACAGAAGTTGCCTGCTAGAGAGAGAGACTATATCTTGGACAGGGCTATGACCAAAGGAGTATCATCTTCCCAAACATCTGTTGTTAATTCCCTGTTCAGAGCATTGCTTGTGCTTGATGATACATCCCAGTAAGATGAAAGGAAAGTAGTGAGACTCTATAAATCATATAAATACAGAAATAAATTTATGCAAAATTATTTCCTTCTAAACTTGCAGATTCCGAAGTGCCCTATCCAAGTTTGCTGGCAGTTTCCTCTGGAAATCTCAAAAATATAGGTCATATTTTAAGTTAACCAAGGTTTAAGCATTTAGAAACTGTGCTTTCATCTTTGATACTTTTTCATTCAAACTGCAGAATGCTTATATTTACTTGTGTTTGGAATTTTGTCACTAGTGTACCTTTGGGCAGAGGTGAGATGTTGAGTGTCCTATAATGGAATTATGAGGAAGGAAGAATGAGGGGCTGGGCACTCAGCGATCTGGAATTGAATCTCTCTTTCCTAACTGTTTCAGCATACTAACGCCCAGACTGGTTCACACAAGATGTCCTTACAGCCTATTAGACAGTAGAAGTGGAAATCAGATGAGAAGAGAGGGAGCGATGAAGAATCTCGAGTAAGAGCTGTTATTTAAGCAAATTACTCTTTACTGTAATTTTTCAGAGTATGAGGTTGTGTCAACTGAAAATGGAGCCAGTGATGGTGAAAAGGAGAAATCGATTATCACTACAAATCAAACCCATTCTACTGTGGAAAACCTAAAACCTGACACAAGGTAATTAAATAAAGTAATTTTCTAAGTTAATCCAACTAATTTAGACTGTCAGCTGTCTGCCACTTCAAATAAAAATACAGATGTATAGAAGACCAAATTGGTTTTACTCCTCTTCTGATACAAAAAGGGTATGCTTTGGTGTTGCTTTCTTTTAAATTAACACATCTGAGGAATCTTTAGGAAATTTCCAAGAATATTTATGGTCTGGACAAACTGCAGAAGTGACTTGTTCTATCAGAAAGGTTAACAATCAAATGCAAGAAAATGTACTGCGTTTTATCAAAAAATCTCTTTAATTTAGCAGATAAAGAAATAAGGTGAACATATGAAGCATTAACCTGGTATGTGAGATCAAGATTTACATGTAGAGTTGTCTCTTCCTGGAATTTAAGGATGCTTGGCACAAATGATGTAGGCTGCTTGCTTATTTAGATGGATGTTCATTCAAATACTGGAACACAAGTTGGGCCACTGTACGGAGCTTGACTATTGCATTGCACTGTGGAGAGGAAAGATACGTTTGTCCTGTATATGAAGTTTTCTTTCAGTGTCTCAAAACAACTGACAAGTTAAAAATGGATCAGTCAGTTCCAGTTGATGGCATACATCTCATGCAACTAGTCCAAATAAGCATTATTATTCTTTAAAAAAAAAATATCTCATCAAAAATTATTCTTTTTCGTGGTAAAATTCGGAGCTGGCAAGAAAACCACTTCTCCTTTCTTTGTGTTGCTTATTGATTGCATCAGGAGGTTAAAGAATGACACTTTTTTTCCTGTAAGACCAGCCATTTGGCTTTGGTAACTGGATTTTTCTGTTTCAGATAAGCTGCCCTTTTCTGTTATTATCTTTAAATTGGTAAAACAGCACAAAATTCTGCATAGACCCTATCTTGAACCTTTGTTTTTAGACAGCGTGTGGCTTAATCTGGGGTGCTATTCTTAGCTCATGTACTTGTGACCGGCAACTCCCAGAAGGAGGAATGAGGAACTGTTGCAGAAAGTGGAGGGGATGGAAAGAGAATTATGAAAGAAAGGCTAGGGAAAATTGTGATACTCAAAAAAAAAACGTCTTTGAGAGACTCCAAAACTTACAAGATGGGCTAGAATTGAGGTGTATTGCATCAAGAATATCTCTTTTATTTCTTAAAGGCATGTGGCTTGTGAAAGGGTGAACAGCAGCTATGTTCTGTCTTGTTAGGAAGCAATTAGGATATGTTAGCAATACAACTGGAGACCATGCATCAGTTGCCTCAATCTCTTCCTCGATCAGTTGAGAAGGCTTAGAAGATACAGGAAAACAATATATTTCTGGAGTAGCAACTATGAAAGGCAGCAAAGCTATGCTGGCTTGTGTTTTCATTTAACATAATAATACAGTTTGAAATAATACGGTTGCATCCTTGAAAAGAACTGTATGTCATTAACGAGATTCTCAAACTCTTCATGTCACATATAGTGACAGAAATGGGATGGATTTGATTAAGTGCAGAAAAGCCATGGAAGCAAAGAAAAGTCCTTTATGCTGAGAGCAGTGTCCAGATGGCCAAAAGAGAAAAACATTTTTAGACTGCGCTTTTTTCAGAAAGGAAGAAAGATGGAGGCAGGCAGACCCAGCTAGAACCATTGGAAAGGTCATACGAAGGCAGGAGCTATGCAGAAAAAGATGAGATGGTTTTTAGTTTAATTAGTAATAATTCTGTCAATCCTATGAGAGGACTTTTGGGTTTTGGGTGAGTCAGAGCAGACCAAAGACCACAGAGAAAAGCTGTCTTTTGGAGCATGGATTTTGCTACCAGAAGCTAGATATGAGATCAGTACTGACTGATGGAGGCTGACTTAAGACATAAAGGGATAACTTTTCCCTGAGGAGATGGTGGCTATTATCCACCCCCCAGCCTCTAAAGGGAAAGACAGTGATTCTGGATTCAGGAGGCCATTGCCCGAAATGGAAAGCCTTTGATATAAATTGCGGTGGTGCATGTCCCTCGAGTCTCACAGGATTTAAAGGATGTAAAGTCCTTCTCAGAGTGGCTCTGTTTGATTAAACTCCCATTTCAAAATGTGTGTTCCCTAATTTTGAGGACACCTTGAGAGCTTTGGCAGAACCACAAGAAATTGTTACTATTACCATTTGAATTCAGGCTTGTTGACACACTAAATTCAGGGAAAATAAGAAAGTGATTAAGACAGCTGGCATCATGTAGACAGTATCAGTGTTGCAAGGAATAGCATATGTCCATAATAAAAGTCTCCTGCCTGTCAGGAGCTGATTGCTCACTAGATAAAGAAAAGGGACCTGCAGACCAAACTCACTGACAATAGGAGGAAGAGAGACAATGAAATACAGCTCAGTAAATTAATTAATAGCATACCTGAAATGCCTGCAAATTCGTCAAGTAATACATTAAGACTGGGAAGCAGACTTTTCCATAATTAGCCTTAAGGAAAGAGCTGTAGAAGAGGTGGAGCTGGAAAAGAAACTTGGAAGAGAAAAAGAAATCTCTTTTGCAAATGATCAACGTTTACAAAACTGCCAGCAAGTATATGGAAAGAGACATGCTCAGTAGCAGAATGTGGATTAACTGGGGAAGAACCTCTTGGCCTTGAAATGCTTTGGAGAAGCTGACAAGCTGAATTTGAGAGTCTATTTTTTCCAGCTTTCCTGAGGCCATCAGTGAGGCTGTGTGAATTCCCTGTGCTGCTCTGAAGGTTTGGTGCTTCCAGAGCTGAAGACAGACCTAAACAAAGACTTTCCAAAAAGAATAAAAATGTTTATGAATGTAGTATCTCAGTCTCTGTGGGTAAATTCAAACCAGAAAGATCCTATAGCAGCAAGACAGCTCAAGCTCGTAATTCTCCAGATGTATGCTCTTTAGGAGCAATGCACGACAAAGATGGTCTGTGGTCACATTGCCCAAGGTCTATCATCCATCCCATTAAGGTAAATCAGGTAGGATATGTTAGTGCTTGGCCCAGAGGTAGGGTTAATTGCCCACATCCAGCAGGAGGGAAGCAAGACAGCTCTTCAGTGTGAAGGAGGCAGAATAAGCAGCAGGAAAAAACTGGACGCATCCAAGCCTGCCAGATCATTCTGTTTGCTTTTCTCTTTTACATTCTCCTTTCAAATAGGTCATGCTGCTGCACCTCTGGGAAGCTCTGCAGTAAGCCAGACACTCGTCTTCCTTTTGAGCTGGCCTTTTGACAAGGCAGCTTTTAAAGATTAGGATCTAATGGCTAGACTTTGAATGTTTAAGAAATTTGAATGGTGTTAGGAAGGCAGCAATGAGAGACTTACACACTTTTCATGAAAAATTGCATGTGTGACTACAACTGTCAGGAAGTATAAACATAGAAGTTAAATGGGATACAAATTTCTCTGAATCAGGGGATTATCATGTAAGTATTCTGTGGGCCCAGTTAGCTGTCTGAAAAGTGGCTAAATCCAGAAAAAAAATGCACTGGCTGAAAAAGAAAAGTTGTTCTGACTTTCAGTACAGTTATCAAGTATTTTGTTTTAACAGACTCATACCATGCTAATATGGAAATGAAAATTTGCTTTCATAGGCATAAAACAACTAGTGAGGGTTACTTTTACACAATTATGTTATGGCAGCTTGTTGTGTCTCTTGTTTGTCTATAATATATATGCCAGCTTTGTGTGTTCTTGGTGACTTGATTGCAAGATCAAAGGGGGCCTACAGGAAAGCTGGAGGGTGACTTTTTACAAGGGCATGTAGTGATAGGACAAGGGGCAATGGATTTAAACTGAAAGAGGGGAGATTTCGATTAGATATAAGGAAGAAATTTTTTACATTGAGGGTGGTGAGGCACTGGAACAGGTTGCCCAGAGAAGTTGTAGATGCCCCATCCCTGGAAGTGTTCAAGGCCAGGTTGGATGAGGCTTTGGGCAACCTGGTGTAGTGGAGGATTTCCCTGCCCATGGCAGGGGGTTTGGAACTAGATGATCTTTAACCATTCTATGATTCTAAGATGTCGAGACTCTGAGACGAAAGTAATACAGTGATTTGAAAATCTGTCTGTGAGGACATACACCCTTTAAAGAAATGTGGGGTGCACAGTCAGCTGCTTTCCAACACAACTGCTTGATTTTTTTTTTTTTTTTAAAAAAGGGTTCTAAAGACACCTGTACAATGTGATGTTGTTGGAGCACTGAGATCCCTATGTTTTTTGCCCAACGAAAGGCACATTGTATCCATGCCGTTCTCTCACAGTAAAGCATGCCTGGCAGTTGACAACATCACATTCATTTAAAGGATTTTTCCTTACAGGACGAGTACATTGGCCTGTTTTTCACCTGGAGAATTGCCAAATGTGGTGCTTGCAGTATTTCACTGTCACATCTTAGGAAAATTCTAATAGTTTAAGTAACCTGGAAAGTTCAAATCTTGATATCCATTATTTAGTTGGTCAGAGTTCTTGAAACTGCTACTGTTCCTGCCACTGAGCTGTTATCTGGGTCCAGTCGAGAATTCTGTTTAATTTCATCAGATATTTTGCTTTTGATTGTAACTTCTACCTGAAATCTCTCAAAACATGTAGTGTGGTTATGCTATGTCAGCTAGATAACTATATATATCCTTCTTATACAGATAGTTGGATATAACTGGTGCCTGAAGAGGAAAACTTTCTCTCGTTTTATGAATGTCTTCTGCTTAAACATTTCTATTGTAGATGTGATTCTGTGAACTAATAATCACATATATACAGGTGTTGATTACGACTTTGTACTGTAGTTAGCAGCCTTTAAATTATTTCCAAGAATTTAAGAGTAGATCCAGTTCACATTTCACTCAGCTCTCTTTTCAGTACCACACTTAAACACACATCAGATTTTCTGCAGTTTTTGCCATCTGTTTCCTTCAACTAGTCCTTCACTTGTTGAATGAATGAAACAGCCGTATTCCATTCATCTTTCTTTCTTCTAGTTTGTCTGAACCATGTGCTGAGCTACTCAGTTTTCACTCTGTGGTTCAAGCA